TGGGTGTTTTAGTGAAACTCCCTTTTTTTTATTGTGAACCCATAAATTGAATTCGTTTAGCATATGCAGAATAGAAGTATGGTCTTGAGTAATGATGTTACAGTATCCCCTATTAACTCTTTTGTTGAAAAAAAAATCTGACAGATTATTACTTTTGTTGGTATAGGCTGAAAATGAAGCTTTTCATTTCTTCAAGAGCCTTTACATAAATCTGTTCACTGTAGTCCACTTTTTCTCGCTTGACTTGACAAAATCCTTTTATTGCGAAATCTTTGTGATAGAACAACTTTCTACCTGTTATTACGTTGCTTATGTGTAAAATGCTCAATATAAAGTATGGCTTCGGTCTTGTAGTCCCGAAACCTCTTCCATTCATGTTTCATTTATTATCTGTTCAAACCTTTCACATCTTTCGCTTAACGTTATATGGCAGAAGCGCTAAACTAACTTTTGAAAGAATGCAAGTGGTTTTGTCTTTAGTATTTGGTAATTAATTGTAGTTCTTTTTCTTCAGAGTTGTTCACACCTTGAGTCACAATTTTCGTAATGCTACCGGCACAGTGCGCGCACCATTGAGATTACCCATTATACCACACCACGTTCTTGTGAAAGTCATATATGCCGGCGTAAATGCTAGTGATGTAAGTTTATGGCTCCCCTTGAAATATTCATCCTAAGGTTTTTTATTTTCCTGGATTCTATTATGCCATCACATGTTTTATTGGTTTACATCTGTCACTTTTCTTCATTTTATAACATACATTTTTTTAATATTTATTTTATGAAATCTAAATTATCTGGCATGGTATTTAGAACTAGACTGAACTTAATGACTTTTCTTCATTAATATATGCTCTAACAAGGACTTATTTTTGGTAGGTAAATTACAGCTCAGGGCGTTATTTTGGTGGAAGCAACAAAGATCTTGAATCTCGTCTTCCATTTGATTGTGGTTTTGAGGTGCAGGACAATATATAATTTTTGACATTCTTACAATCGCTCATGCAGTTGAGGGCCTTTAGGTTTATAAAGTTATTGCTATCTATGATGCGTAGTTGATAAAGTCTGTCGCACTGTTGCAGGCTGTGGGGATAATTGCAGCAGTTGGAGAATCTGTCACTAACTTGAAAGTTGGTACTCCAGCTGCAATCATGACTTTTGGTAGTTATGCAGAATTCACGATGGTACACCGTCTGAAGAATACTGTTCTTTTTTTTCTTTCAATGTTTACTAAGAAGTGCTTTCATATTTAATGTCAGGAATGTTTCCAAGTTTACAGTAATCATGAGTCATGACACCAAATGATTCTATTCTATTTTTCGATATCTTTCTTTTGTTTATTTTTAATATCCATTACTAGTTTAATAACTGATGAGCTTTGCACTTGAGTTAGGTGCCGTCAAAACACATCCTTCCTGTGGAAAGACCAGATCCAGAAGTTGTTGCTATGCTTACTTCAGGACTGACTGCATCAATCGCTCTAGAAAAGGTTAAATGTGTGTGTATGTGTAGTCGGAAAATAATAGTCCAAAAACTGTTAGTGCACATATATGTATTTGTGTATCAGAATTGCATATTATTTCCTTTGCTGAATTCTTGGTGGTCACATTCAGATGATAATGTCGTGCCCTCTTTTAAATAACTTTCTTGCCATTGTGCATTATATTTTTTGTTCTGCAGCCTTCATTGTTTTTAATAGTTTGTGTTAGATTATTCACTGAGACACCACATTTCTACTTGTCTTACAATTTCTTTTATTATGAACCTCTAGGCAGGAGCAGGACAACTGGAATCTGGAAAAGTAGTTCTTGTTACTGCTGCTGCTGGAGGGACTGGGCAATTTGCAGTCCAGGTTTGGTTTCAAATATAGGAATAGCTCTTTATGACATGCTGGCTTTTTATCTGATTCCAAAGGGTGTACGGCTGTTTGTGAGTGCACTGCTCTCACTGTCTAAAATGTTGACTGATGCACACGACAATTCCGTATGTCAAACCCACTGACACCAACTAGGGGATGGAAATCTGAGACAAAAAAAACCTTATTTCCTTTTATCTCCTGAAAGCCCACCAAAACTTTGGTGAATATTGACTGGAATCCGTGGGTCTTTGGGGCAATTTTTTCTTAACAAAATTTTGTAGCTATTGGAATAGTGTTTCAACGATATTATTCTCTCAAGCATCCTGAATGGAAATATTCTTAGTAGTCTTTTATATGCACAGCTTGCAAAGCTAGCTGGAAATACAGTGGTTGCAACTTGTGGAGGTGAAGAAAAGGCAAAGCATTTGAAACAATTGGGGGTTGATCGAGTCATAGACTATAAAGCTGAAGATATCAAGACTGTATGTCTTTTGAATCTTCCCCTTGATTTACGAAATTGTTTCTTAGTTGTATTTGGTGGAATGGTAAGGTGAAAATGGACCCATGACTTCATTGATGTGATGCAATATGTCGGTTAATCCAGATTTCAGCTCTTAAAATCGACTACATCTGTTTATACCGATTGTTTTTTTTTTTTTTTTTTTTTTTTTTTTTTTTATATTCCACAGATCAATATCTAATTTGAAGTATGTGGTCATGTGCATGTCTTTAATCTCAGTAAAATTCACTGACTCATAGTCAATCTTAATCTGGCACTGGTTAATAGCGAATCTAGTTTTTGCATTTTGTTGTATAGCTTTCCTATTTTATCAGTTTTTTCCTTGTCCAATTTATATCATCACTGAAACACGTTTTGAGAATGCAGTCTGAACAATTACTAAGTTGAAACACATCATCCGTACTCTTTAGGTTTAAATGGGACTATTTGGAGTGTCACTTTATAACATGGACACATGTTGGATGGATAAAGGAACACTCACATTAAGAACTAAATGGCTTTTAATCTGATTCAGTTTAAGGAGCAATGCAATAATTTTATTCTAAAGTCATTTGAGTATAAAGTTGGGGTTATTGATAACTTCCAGTTTTCCAGGTTCTAAAGAAGGAGTTTCCCAAAGGCGTTGACATTATCTATGAGTCTGTAGGTGGTGACATGTTCGATTTGTGCCTGAATGCTCTTGCGGTTTATGGACGACTCATAGTGATTGGAATGATTTCTCAGGTTGTATATTCATGCAAGCATAGACGTTATTACACTATGATTGTCTTTCTTGACACTTGATATGTTGACAGTTGAATAGAATTATTGAAGTATAGAAAAAATGTTAGAATCCATTTTTTCTCTTTTTCCGATTTGGCATCATTGTTGTGTTTTAGTTTTACGATTCTAATCTAGCAATCATCTTGGTAAAATTTTAAAAACTTATATTTTATCTGTGATAATAATATGTCTATCATTATTGGTAAAGAAATCAATATAAGCTCCAATTAACAGTCTTAACCATGCAGAGTTGGTATAAGATTTCTAGGATGTAGTACAGGTTCAGCTATGGATCTGTATATATTCTACTTGTTAGGTTCATACTTTCCTGATGTGTTCAAATTTATTTTTAACTTAATTTTGTTTAAATTCTATTATGTCGTGCCCTGAAGAACACTAACTAGTATTTCACTTGAAGTTTTTCTTGTCTGCTCTGGAATTTCTTGGGTTTGACGTTGTTGGCTTTCGTTTATTCCAATAACATAATCCATTCTGAACACAGTATCAAGGAGAGCATGGGTGGAAGCCATCAAACTACCCAGGACTTTGCGAAAAGCTCTTAGCAAAAAGCCAAACTGTGGTATGTAGCCGCTAAATACTAAACTGGTCCTCATATAATCGGCCATCATTTCGTCCTACTTCCCACAAAATAAGTTTCTTGACATTCATCATCCTAGTTTTGAGAACTGACTCTGCATTCAACTATATTTTGGAGAATTCATCAATAAATCAAAAACTAGTTGATATAACAATGCCAATCTTTTCAGGCTGGTTTCTTCCTAGTGCAATACAGTCACTTCTGGCAAGAACATCTGGATAAACTATTTCATCTTTTCTCTATGGGAAAGCTGAAGGTAAATATATCTACATAATGCACCAACTGAATTTACTGCTAGTTCTTATCCACGAACTTCTTGAACTTGAATCATCGGTGTTCTGATTGTATGCCGCCTTCAATTTTATAGGTTTCTTTAGACCCAAAACAGTTTTTGGGTGTACATTCGGTTGCAGATGCCGTGGAGTATCTCCATTCCGGTAAAAGTGTAGGGAAGGTAATTCCTCTGTCATATCTTGAACTTCTCTCACTCTCAGAATGGTAATTCCTAAATGCCCTTTTCCTTGCTGTAAAATTGTTACAGGTTGTTGTTTGCATTGATCCTACCTTTAGCCAACAAACGGCAAGATTATGAGCAGATGTTGCCTTGCAGCTTCCCAGGCGTGTTTTATTTCCTTTCTGAAAAATAAACAGAGAAAAAGAAGATTGAAAGACCACCGATGTTTACATTTGCAGCTCTTGTTCAAGAAGGCTAGCAAAGCAACTCATCTGTCATAGAAAAATATATTTACACAAGAAAGAAACAATGGTGAAAATTTTCAAGAACTATGATCATTTTTACATGAGCTAGTTTGTGGCTGTGTTTGCCCAAGTACAAAAGAATAAAACTATTCCCGGTTGCAAATACATATAAAGAGAATAAAACAATTTTGATTAGAAGGTGGTGGTATTGCAGGTACAAAGTTAACTTTCTTGTTGGGTCATCTTGTCATGTATGACTATATATATGAGCCACATTATGCCTTCTTTTGTATCATTAATTGAATAAAAGAGGTTTTGGATCACTAGTTGTGCTAGCAGAAATTCAGACACCCGTTGAATTTTTCGTGTTTTTCAAATTGTTTTCACAGAATCCATTTCCTTAATTTTCTGTTCGAAAAGCTGACTTCAAAGATTAGATTGCATACACCTTTAACTTCAAATTTACAAAAATAACAAATGGTAATACAACTACTGGTTTAAGAAACACAACTAGAAAAGCCCTATTTGATATATCACTGATTAATTTTCCCATCCACACACAATCAAACAGAGGCCCTGAGAACAGGAGAAACAGAATCAGCAGGAGGCTTAACGCAACCAGTCTCTCTCAGCTCAGTCTTCAACCCTTTCCCTGCCCCGTTCGCCAGGGGATGTACCCCGTGCTCGGGCCCACTCATATACGCCCGATTCACCCTCTCCTTGTCAAAGCTCACCCCATACCTCTCCTCCACACCCTTCTTCAAACCCTCATCCAGTTGACCATCCCTGGTCAACGCCATCATAACCCTCGGAATCCCAAGCGGCAAGTTGTCCCCCTTGTCCACCTCCCAAAAATGCCAGACCTTCCCGTACGTCTTGCACACCTTCTCCATGTCCCGCCTCTCGATCACGCCCGGCACTCTAGGCATGAACAAGACGCCGCTCTTGACCTCGTACTCGTGCGAGTGCCAGAGTGGCTTCTCCTCGTCCGGTAGTGTCAGGAAGAGATTCTCTGACACGACGTACTCGAGGCCGATGAGCCTTGCATCAGCCTCAGGCCCATCGTAGATGAGGCACTGCCTCATCTCCTCGTTCTGGTGGGCGCAGTAGTGGTGGGCCTCCACCTGGCGGGTCATGTCGTGGGAGTAGAAGTGGAAGGCGCAGAGGTGCTGGTGGATTTGGTTGATCGGGCCGAAGCGTTGGATGGCGGCCGTAGCGGTTTCGACGAGCGAGGTGCCCGTGTGGGTTGGCTCGCCGGGGACGTGTGTGTGAGCCGTGGACATTGCTGTTTGTTTGGTAGGTTTTGGTTTTGAAAGGCACTGCTTAAAGCCAATTTAAAGCAGGAGAAGGTGGTTGCAAACTTGCATGCAGAGTTACGCGTGGTGGGAGAATAAGGCATACATGTGTTTTGTTTTAGCTCAAACGTGGCTATAGACGAGGCTTTTACTGAGGAACCATTCTTGTCGTGTTTGAGAACAAGTTCTAAAGAAGGGAAAAAAAACAAAGGTGTTTCACTAAAACACTCAAAATGGGGGCTTAAATTATAAAAAAACCCAAGCATTATTTAAATATATAAATACACTCAAAACCTATCATTACACACACTCAAAATCTATTATAAACACGCCCAAAAAGTTGACTTTATGGTTGATTTTGGGTGTGTTTCTATGTTTAAATAGTGCTTGGGTTTTTCTATAAATACATGTCTAGGATTGAGTTTATTTATAAATTTGTAAAAAAAAAAACTTCGGTTTTGCAAGAGGAATATATTTGTAACAATATCAACATATATTATCTGGTAATTGAGGTTTACTTTTTCTCTATAAGATTATCCATACGTTGTGACTCTCTGAATGTTTTTTTTGGTGACTGTGTTTGTGTATAAGCAAGCAAACACACATATTTTCGCGTATATGAAAATGTATCGAAAGTTCTTGCGTATGCTCAAATATAAAATCTATTTGACGTAAGTGGTGTCATCGCATAGTGCCCCTAATTAATGTTATTAGAAATACGCAATGCATATGTACGCATGCCTGCACCTGCCGATCCAATTAATTTAGACTTAGCATGCTAAGTTCTTTAAAACCAACCTAAACGTTATAAATAGGCCGAGATTGATCGAGCGTAGTGCAAATTAGCCTACCTCAGCTTTCTCCTTCAACTTCTCAATCTCACAAGCTTTTGCCTCCTACACTCTAAACCTCAAACTCTATTAAGATGGTGGACTTTGTATTGCCGGTTAATATAAAGACCCTAATTAGTCGGGAGGGAGGTCAAAACATAAAGCACGTTGCCTCCGGACTGAACTTGCAGTTTGAACCCGGCATTCATCTGACAATACGGCCACAAGTGCTTGACTCTATCCTTGACGAGCCTGGCGAGGTGCAGCTGCTCAACAACGGTAAACTGGTGGCGAAGCTCTTCAAACCCGAGGGCCATTGTGGGTTGATAAGTCTGGTGAAAGTGCCTGACGTAAAGAAAATAGTGAGGTTAAAGTGAAATTGGTGTCAAGGAGTCCCTTTAAGGTCGACGTTCCCTTTGACCTATGGACCTTCATAGACAAAGAATCCACTCGTTGCTTCGTTATGCTATGCACCCAAGGGTGACTCGAGCAACACCCACTAAAATTATATCTCTTGCTATATATGGATATACTGTAAATAAATTATCAGAAAAGTGGGAAAGTGGTCGGATAAGTTGGATACAAAATTTTCAGACCAAAATGAAAGTTGGATTAAAATTTCTATACCCAATGTATTATTATTAATGTGTGTCATCTATAATATAATATAATATAATATATATATATATATTGTGACTAATAAAATAGATGACATGGTGTTTCTAGAAAATACGAAAATGACAACTATTAATATGTACTGTGCACCTAAACGAAAAACACTTTAAATTGTGGCCGAGCAAACACTCATGGATCTTATTAGGTCCGAGGTTCTAGCCCGACTGCTGGTTTTATCACGGCAAGTCCCTTTACGAACCACCTTATCTATTTTTTAAAACCTTGTCATGTTTCAAGCTTGGAGTCTCTATATTTGAGAATTCGTAGGGGTTGGTGTTTTTGAGATTTAGTTGTTTCGTAAAACTTATGTAAGGTTGGTTGCTCGTAAACCAACTTGTAACTCGTCCCAAAAAAAGGAGTGTGCTCGTTATTTTAGGGCGTGCTGGAAAAAGAAATGTCTATATATGTGTACATATACAAATAGTTTCAGTTGATGGATTATTTTAGGGGCACTCTTGTAGGGCTCACTCCACAATGTATTTCAATGATCCAAATGATTGGAGGTATGTTTTTAAAAAAAAAAATACAAACGATATTAGAAGACAGAGGTACGGTACCAAACCTAGAATCTCATGTGCAAAGTTAAATGCTCTTAACCACTAACTATAAGCCCCTTGCAAATGATTGTAGCACGGACGCATAAAAATAGATACATACAAGTCGTTGTACATAAACAAACCACAAAACTCCTTTGCTTCTGCAACAATGGAGAAGACTAAAAATTTACTTGAAATTTGACACTTGTCTATGTCTTTTATTTTTATTTTTTTACAAACGATATGAGGAGAGACAGGAAATGAACACAGGATATCAAGTTCAACGATAAATACTCTTAACCGCTTGCTGCAATGGAATTTATATTTTACATATGCCTATATATGGCAAGTGAATTTAAGTGCCCAATCTGCGAGGCCAACATATGAAAACCTTTACATATATACATATATATAATTACTCAATTTTTTTTTGAATATTTAACTACTCATTTGGTGGTAGATTCATGAACTTTAGTACCCACATTTGGTATAAGGTGAACCTATATTTTCAAAATTAAATTGATGCAATGATTGTTCGCTGGATTATAGAAAAAAAAATGGCATTTTAGGAATAAATAAAACATTTTTTTATAGCAAACTAATCAGGTGATATGAGGAAAACTCATGTGAGTTGGGTATAAATTAGGAGCAAAATTTAGGATTTAATCTGTCATCATAATCTAATTTTCTAATGTTTTTATTTTAAAGCCTAGTGGCTCCAAATATCCATCCTTATATGCATGCTCACATCTTTATGGTTATAAGGTAATTCCAAATGGATATGCATGCCTACCTAACAACTAATATAGGCTAGAACGCTGGTCATTTTCAAGATTCAAATATCGAAAATTCTTGAAAAACATGTTTCCTAAACTAGTTATTTACAGCTATATATACATGTATAGAGGCTTATCATAGGGCACAAGTTCTTAGTTTCCTCACTAGGTCATCTCCTGAATACCAAGATTTTCGAAGATGGCAGACTTTGTGTTGGCCCAACATACAAAAGATAAGATCCGTGAACTCAAGGGTAAGGATGTGAAGCTCGTAGGCCGATTGTTTTTGAAGTTCCAACGTGACATATGCAGTGAGTATCTGATGATACCCCAGGCACTGCTGCTCAGCCTCATTCTCCACTCCAAGGAGAAGGAAAAGCTGGCCAATGACGGAGATTCCATCCCCGTAAAGCTTATAGAGCCTGAGGGCGTTACTAGCTTGATCAAGCTGGTCAAGAAGGGAAACGGGATGTATGTTTTTGGTTCTCAGGACGAATGGAAAAATGTTGTTTCCCGCAACCGCTTTAGGGTTGAAGTTCCGGTTGACCTTTGGTCCTTTGTGGATGGTGAGTCCACACGATTTTTTGTTATGCAGTACGTGCATGGCCTCAATAACCAGGCTACTGCTAATACTGTTACCGTCATAGACTAAGATTAAGTATCTTCACTAAGGCTTTTGATGTGCACCGTTTTCTTACTAAAGTTCTAGCTTTGTTTAAGATGATGTTTTACTATTATGCAATAAGCACTTGGCCGATCTTTTGTTGTTTGGTTCATCCCGTTGTTATTAAGTATTATCCTCTTATGTCATAATGAATTTTCAGTTAATTTTGAGTTTCTGTTGTTGATTAACCTTATGTTAAGCATGATTGTTTCGACTTTACATGTACCTTTTTGTCGGATGGCAAGCTTACAATAACAATGTGTTTGGATGAACAAATTGGATTCAATAATTGGGAAAAAGTTATGACAATCAATAATTTCCTTGGTTGGTATCCTCAAAAGGAAAATTTGAAATGGAATGGGCAACAAATTTGAAACTTGGATTAGATCATAAACTCCGCCTACAAATCTCGAACACATGAGATGTCGAGTTCCGAGTTAAATATTATTAATAATTAACCACTTAAACTATAAGTCATTTTTCACGTAAAAATTCAATAAAGTTAGTATATCAAATTGGCATATCGTATGTATGTAGGAAGTTGGAAATATGCTATGCATGGAGCTTCATTAATTAATTCCTCGCCGTGCATGGAAAAGCCTAAATAAAAAAATAAAAAATAAAACACATTTGTGATCAATGGCGTATCTACACTTGGGCTGGAGTGGGCTCCAGCCCAGTGCCTTTTTTTTTTCTCTGTAGGCTTAGTGGTATAAGCTAAATTTAGGTAAAGTAAATAATAGTCTAGCCCTCTATTTAAAATAAGCTCAGCCCTCTATGTAGAAATAAACCCACTCCAGCCCAAGTGTAGATCCGCCATTGATCACAAATGAGACATCCCCTATTTAAATAAGTTCAGCCCAAGGGTTTAAAAGTAGTCAAAACATCCCCTTTTTTTTTTTGGTACGTCATCCAGTTTTATTTGTGTACCTCAAAGAGTATCAGAGTATAGGGACTACAAAAAGAAGAGAATTAAATCCACTTATTTTTCCTCCGTAAAGTTTTATTAAATATTAAGGAATTGATGTGCTCTCTCTCTCTCTCTCTCTCTCTCTCTCTCTCTCAACTGCACAAACAATGGCCAAGCTCTGCAAATCAATAACAAATTCAGCCATAACAAGGTTAGCGATAGCTGCTTGTGAGGCTGAGAGAGAAAGTGAGAGACTCACTGGGTGAATGCTAAAATGGCGGTTCCAGCTCTCAATTAGTGTGCGTAAAGTAATCAAATTGGAGAAAGATATTGATGGCTGGCTCAGTTATGTTCCAGAGCCGTGCTGCATAACCCCACACTCTCCAAGATGTTACAAGAATCAAACCCTAGCTTTCACCCACTCTCAATTCTTCTCTTCTAAGTCATTTTTAAGGTTAAAGAAGCAGTCTTTGGTCTCAGCTCTTCAAATTAATAAGAGGCAGAGGACTCGGAGGTATCGCTCTGTTCCTGTTGTGTTCGCTGCACAGTCCAATTTCTTAAAAGGTTAGCTAGCTGCACTTCCCTGCGTTTCTTCTTCTTCTTCTTCTTCTGTTTAGTATATATGATCCCTGAACATTGTTGTTTCGTGGGTTCGTCGAATTTGCTATTTTATGAATCGTGTTTTTATATTTTGGTTTTTGGATTTTGATAAAAGGTATTTTTGCAATTGAATAGCATTGTATTGGTGAAGATCTGTCGAAACCATGTTAATTTCTGTTAGATTATGACAATTTTTAACGTTAAATTGTCGAGTGTTCGAAAAATCCGCCTAGGCGGCGCTAGGCGGCCACCTAGGCGGCTAGGCGGGAGTTAGGCAGCTAGGCGGGAAAGTATAAATTTTTTTTTCTTCCTGACTTTAACGCTGCCTCTCTCTCTCTCTCTTCTCACGACAGACGACCACCACCAGGCCTCCACCCGCGACGACCACCAACAGGCCGCGATTAATACAAAATAATTATAAATTTTAAAAAATGCCTAGTCGCCCGCCTACCGCCTAACGATTTTTAAAATTGATTGTGGATTTCAATTCAGTGCTTTGGAACTCCGGTGATTAGTGGTTAGTAGAATGAAATTGTAAATGATTGGCCTCAAAAAATAAAAAGCTATTGTAAAGATTTCAATCAGGCATGAAAGGTAAAGGCGCTTTTGTAGAAGCAGTGAAGCTGTAACTAGAGAATGGAACCGTTTAGAAAAGCTTGAATCTTCTTACATGAAAGACTTAAAGAGTGATCACCCGTTAATCGGGTAGTTAAGAGAACTGGATAATCATCCATACCATAATCCATGGGAACTTACCATTTGGTGGGTGAAACCTAGCTGACGTGCTGCCATGTGCAGCAAGTGTGATTTTCTCAGGGTAATTTTTGTTATTTTAAATTTGTTTTTCTCATGCATGAAAAGTAGGAGAAATTTTAATATGTTCTGGGTACACCATGTAGCTGATGTACCATCCAATAAACATAGGATATGTGGAATTATTGTCTAACTTACTGCATTTCTTTTTATAACATGTGGCAGGTTGCATTGCAAATATTCCATATGTCTTCCGTCTATTGGATGGTACACCAGCAAGGTAGTGTACCCAGAACACCTAAAAATTACTCGGGCCAAGAAGTCTTTTCAAGTACGAGCCTTTCATGCAGGGTAATTTTGAGTCAGAATTTTGAATTGTTAGGATAATATTTTAATTTTCTGGTTGAGATTTTGAGCTACATTATATGTGGACGACATTGGTTGTTTACATCCAATTCACAGTAGTGTTTCTACCTTTCTGCATCACATGAATTACTTTTGCTGCTTTCCTGCTCGTACAATAGAGCAGATAGTTTACCCTTGAGTTTTATGTTTACATTTGTGTTGACTACCGGTTTGAATTGTGTAAAATAGTTGTACAAACAGTTTGGAAGGTTGGGAGAGATGGAATTGAGGCAGGAACCAATCTTGTCCTGGTAAGTTATGTTTAGTCTACCCTTTCAAACTTTTATCGATTGTGCAATTTCAATGCAGGGGTGTTTTTCTTGCTTTTAGTACAAATTGAAGATTTGTGATATTCTGTTTGCGTTTTGTGTTTGGGTGCTAGGATTCTGTGCCAAGATCAATTGCAAGGGTTTCTTTGACAGTAGTTGCATTGGCTCTTTCATTCTTTGTACTCAAGTCTTTACTGTCTACAGTTTTCTTTGTGCTGGTATGTTTCTATTTCTCTCCTCCTGCAAGAACAGTAGATCGATGATGTTATTTTGACTTGCTTTTTCCAAAATGTATATCAAGTATGCTTGTGCTATCATTTGTGTGTTGTGTTTTAAAATCAACTTCTTTTTCTGCGTTACTAGTTTCTATAAGGAAATGAGATGCAATGTAGACAAGTAAATTTCCTCTTGTCAGTAAGAGAGCATTATTCTTGTATAGATAGTCTTTATTTTTTAAGTACATAAATATTATGTAATTGTAATGAACTAAGCATTGTATGATAACAGGCTACGATGGGACTTGTGTACTTTACATTTATAGCTTTGAATAAGGATGAAGGACCAAAGGGGGGTGGAGGCACCACCTCTACACCAAAGGAGGAGGGGATGGAGGACAGTTTAGAAGAAGCCAGAAGAATCATGGAGAAGTATAAGTTGTCAAACAAAGTAGGGCAAATTTTAAGTTATGCTAAGATACGCTCATATTTTATTCTTCTCCAATATGGAGGTATTTATAAAGAAGTACAACCTTAAATAACATAGGAAATAAATCCAAATTATAATAAAAAATAAATATAAATTACAAGAGGAAATAAATCTCAATTATAATAGGTAAGTAACCAAAGTCCTAACATAGTAAGGAACCAAAATCCTAACTAAGTAAGGATTCGCCAACATAAGTAACATCCAATGATTGTTAATCGTGTAGAAAATATTGATGAAGATGATGTTGATTGCTGCAGTTTTTCGATTACTGTAGTTTTTATTTGTCGATTGTTGCAGTTTTTTATTTATTCAATAAAGTTAGGAGATCAAATTGACATATCGTATGTATGTAGGAAGTTGGAAATATGCTATGCATGGAGCTTCATTAATTAATTCCTCGCCGTGCATGGAAAAGCCTAAATAAAAAAATAAAAAATAAAACACATTTGTGATCAATGGCGGATCTACTTGGGCTGGAGTGGGCTCCATCGCAGTGCTTTTTTGTTTTGTTTTTTTTTTGTAGGCTTAGTGGTATAAGCCGAATTTAGGTAAATTAAATAATAGTCTAGCCCTCTATTTAAAATAAGCTCAGCCCTCTATGTAGAAATAAGCCCACTCTTGAAGCATATAGGAAATAGTAAGCATGCAATTTATAACCCACATAAATTTGATTTGAAGCAAACATCAGAAATTTTCTTCTAGCAACCCAAAATGCCATATTTGAACCTTGAGAGCCTAGAAGAAATAGCTCTCTCCCTCTAAAAATTGTACCAACCTATCTTCAGTGGGTTCTTCAATCTTGGTAAGTTTTTCTCTTTTTTATATATATTCAATTTCCAATTTTAATTGTTGTTGTTAAGTTTTTATGATTTAGGGTTTTGGTGAAAATTTTTGGGGATTGTTATATGTGTTTTATTTTTGTAACTTGAATTATTAATTTTTCTCATTGAAAAATTTATCTTTAAATTTTGGCAGAGTCTTACTTTATTTTATGATATTTTTCAAATATATATAATTTGTTAAACACTTATATTATTTACTTTTACGTTTTTAACTACATTATCAACAACAACAACAACAACATGCTTCCCAAATATGATAGCGCGGTAAGACATGATTTTTTTTATTTTTATTTTTAAAGGAATAATAAGAGAGGTATGTTTTTAATGAAAAATTAAAATTGAGATGGAAAATTGGAAAATTGCAATGATGGATATGGGTGAGAAGCTACTATACTAATATAGATCAAACATATATCAGAAATCTGTGATGGCCTAATGGAAAAGCGCACTTAGTTGACATCCATTTGAGAGGTTTGAATCTCCTTGGCCTAGAAATCTGTGATGGCCTAATGCACCCCATCATGACTGCAAACGTCATGACTATTAATTATGTAGTGAGAATCATGTAAAATTAATATTCTACAATTAGAGACGGAGTGAGAGAGATGGGCTTGGACAATGGCAAACGAAAATAACCTTGTATAATTCGAGCTCTTTCCACGTGGACCTAATTTCTTTGCGTAAAGCACCATATATCCAAACGCCAGTGTTGCTGGACGCATGTTTGGTTCAATTTGAACATGATTTGTGGGCTTAGCATATGTTACAAAGAGTATCAGAGTATAGGGACTACAAAAAGAAGAGAATTAAATCCACTTATTTTTCCTCCGTAAAGTTTTATTAAAGATTGAGGAATTGATGTGCTCTCTCTCTCTCTCTCAACTGCACAAACAATGGCCAAGCTCTGCAAATCAATAACAAATTCAGCCATAACAAGGTTAGCGATAGCTGCTTGTGAGGCTGAGAGAGAAAGTGAGAGACTCACTGGGTGAATGCTAAAATGGCGGTTCCAGCTCTCAATTAGTATGCGTAAAGTAATCAAATTGGAGAAAGATATTGATGGCTGGCTCAGTTATGTTCCAGAGCCTGTGCTGCATAACCCCACACTCTCCAAGATGTTACAATAATCAAACCCTAGCTTTCACCCACTCTCAATTCTTCTCTTCTAAGTCATTTTTAAGGTTAAAGAAGCAGTCTTTGGTCTCAGCTCTTCAAATTAATAAGAGGCAGAGGACTCGGAGGTATCGCTCTGTTCCTGTTGTGTTCGCTGCACAGTCCAATTTCTTAAAAGGTTAGCTAGCTGCACTTCCCTGCGTTTCTTCTTCTTCTTCTTCTTCTGTTTAGTATATATGATCCCTGAACATTGTTGTTTCGTGGGTTCGTCGAATTTGCTATTTTATGAATCGTGTTTTTATATTTTTGGTTTTTGGATTTTGATAAAAGGTATTTTTGCAATTGAATAGCATTGTATTGGTGAAGATCTGTCGAAACCATGTTAATTTCTGTTAGATTATGACAATTTTTAACGTTAAATTGTCGAGTGTTCGAAAAATCCGCCTAGGCGGCGCTAGGCGGCCACCTAGGCGGCTAGGCGGGAGTTAGGCAGCTAGGCGGGAAAGTATAAATTTTTTTTTCTTCCTGACTTTAACGCTGCCTCTCTCTCTCTCTCTTTTCACGACAGACGACCACCACCAGGCCTCCACCCGCGACGACCACCAACAGGCCGCGATTAATACAAAATAATTATAAATTTTAAAAAATGCCTAGTCGCCCGCCTACCGCCTAACGATTTTTAAAATTGATTGTGGATTTCAATTCAGTGCTTTGGAACTCCGGTGATTAGTGGTTAGTAGAATGAAATTGTAAATGATTGGCCTCAAAAAATAAAAAGCTATTGTAAAGATTTCAATCAGGCATGAAAGGTAAAGGCGCTTTTGTAGAAGCAGTGAAGCTGTAACTAGAGAATGGAACCGTTTAGAAAAGCTTGAATCTTCTTACATGAAAGACTTAAAGAGTGATCACCCGTTAATCGGGTAGTTAAGAGAACTGGATAATCATCCATACCATAATCCATGGGAACTTACCATTTGGTGGGTGAAACCTAGCTGACGTGCTGCCATGTGCAGCAAGTGTGATTTTCTCAGGGTAATTTTTGTTATTTTAAATTTGTTTTTCTTATGCATGAAAAGCAGGCCAAGAAGTCTTTTCAAGTACGAGCCTTTCATGCAGGGTAATTTTGAGTCAGAATTTTGAATTGTTAGGATAATATTTTAATTTTCTGGTTGAGATTTTGAGTTACATTATATATGGACGACAATGGTTGTTTACATCCAATTCAGTGTTTCTACCTTTCTGCATCACATGAATTACTTTTGCTGCTTTCCTGCTCATACAAAAGAGCAGATCGTTTACCCTTGAGTTTTATGTTTACACTAGCAATGGTGCCCGCGCGATGCTGCGGGTTTTAAAACCGTGTGAAATGTGTACGAAGTTGTGAAATGTGTAGGAAAGATGGTACTATTTATATAGTCATGGAGATCTAAATAGTGGCATCATTCTTTGTTTAGCAAGTCTTAGTTACAAAAAAAATATGATAATAACATGTTTTTTATGTTGTTTGTCTTGATTAAAATACTGACCATATTTTAATAAATCAACAGTCAAAACATCAAAATATCGACAATATTGAGCTGCTCATTGTTCAAAAGAGTTTGGATAGGTCTTTATATATATGCCGCTGGGTGGTGGAAGAGGATTTTTCTGCCTTGATCTCTGTTAGAATGGGTTCTCTCTCTTGTTAGCTCCGCTGTAGAGGTGGCTTATGTTCGTTGTTGTCCTCTGCAGAGGTTTTAACTCTGTTGATACAAATTTGGAAAATGACAGGTGTTAATGTAAGCAGAATAAAGGCAAAAATAACAGGCTATGGGTTATAGTTTTGTTCATTACATCTAAAACATCTGATAAGGCCATCAAATTAGTATTAGGCCACCAAATTTAAACACCACATTAGTATTAGGCCATCAAATTTTTTCCATCTCTTTCATTTGTAAACTCTAATGGGTTTGAACAAAATGTACTCATCACCTACCCCTCAATTGGTGGGAACAGTTTTTTACCAACGCCCTTAAACTATATAAATAACTACATTTAAAAAGTAGGCAAACAGATAACAAACAAACAGGAATTTTCATCTTTCACCAAAAACAAACACTTTCACCTCTGAGCAACAATAAATTGCAGAAATTGTAAATTGAAATAAAGTTATGTTCCTGTATTCAATGAAAGAGAGCAAACTTACATTTGAATCTGCAGTGAAGTTGAAATACTGGAATAAGATTCTCAGGACCAAGAAAACAATTCCAACAATAATACCCAATGACTCAGGCCCTGCAAAACACAAATGGAACATTAACTATAAAAGATAAGTTGGGGGTATGAAACATCATACTAATATAACAGACTACTTATATTTGGAAAAGCAAAAAGAGGATCTTCTCCGGTGCACATTTCATAATATTTGGATTTTGCATTTTCTAAAACAAACCTTCTGAAATGGAAATCCAAATTTCTCACTAAAATTAATTTCTAGGGAATACAAAAGGAAAAACCAAAGTCAAAACTATGGATGATAATCACTGTGCCTTAATTGTCTAAATCATTGATGCTGCAAATCATCAAATTTTTCATAAACAACAATCTAAACAATGAGCTCCAAAGACTCAGTAACATAGATGAAAGAGTTGAGCTGCAAATTTAGCATGCAGCAGAACCTATATAATTTTGGTTTTCCATGTGAGATAAGACAGTCTCAATTAATTTAGCATGCAGCCAGAACCCACAATGCGGACATTGGCTCCACGGCAATCAAGGGTCTTGCAGCTGTTGAAGATGAGCTCTTGGGAGAGCTTGATGAGCATGTTGCCAGGGAACACAATCCAGAGAGGCTCAGTCTGTATCACAGCATATCTCAGAGTGCCTGGCCTTGGATTCACAGCATCATCATTAGAAGAGTCTGTGACAATATAATACTCACCACCTTTGCCTCCAAGAGCATATTGGCCAAACCCAATTGCACAATCTGCTAAGCTCTGCCTGTTGTCTGGCCAATTTGGGTCACATTCCCAACAGTCATCTATTGGGTTTTCGGTTAGGCATGAAGAGTCCTAGTATTTTTGGGTTCCTTGCAGCATTTGCCTTCTTGCCAAAGAAGCATAAACCTTCCTGAAAAATAAAGGGAAAAAAGAAGTAAAGATTGATAACTCAGATCTACAAAAGGCTGAGAAACAGAAGAAAACAGAAAAAAAAAAAAAAAAAAAAACAGAGGTAATTAAAGCTATGTATTTACCTATGAACTTCTTGAACAACAACTTCTGGGTTGGGATGTTGGCCAGGAAGAGTGAGGTTGAGGAATGCTGTGGCGAGAGAAGAAAATGAGCAGAGAAGAGAGAGCAGGGCAATGCAGGTAATACAACAAATTTTACAGCTTGCTATACAATTGCAATACTATATCAAGAGAATGTGGTTCCACCCTTTTATAATAAAGGGCTGTATTGCTATACAATTGCAATACTATATCAAGAGAATGTGGTTCCACCCTTTTATAATCAAGGGCTGTATATGCTATAGAAAGCTAGTCTGTCTGAGCTGTATGTGAAAATGACATAACATGATTTTCAGTAATTGACAGTAATCAAGAACCTTATGCATCTTCAAGGTCAAAGCGAGACTCCAAAAAGGGAATGCAAGATAAGTACAAAAAAAAAAAAAAAAAAAAAAAAAAAAAAAAAAACACACAGCCACATCAATTACCAGATTGATGAGCAGCGTATTGATTACTCCAGTTCTTTTTCCTTAGATCTTCCTCCCTGTAAAAACAAACCAAACTCAATTTCTGATTTCCTTCTCAATTTTCGATATGGAAAATGAATAAACCAACCTAGAAAACCAAAAGAATGTTAAAACCAACCTTTTTTTCGAAACCTAGAAATCCCTTTGAGCTAAACCCGTGCGATGAGAAGAAGGATGAAGCGCAGCTGGAAAGATGGCTGAACAAACGAAGCAGATGAGATAAGATGAATTAGCAAGGGTAGAGAAATCTGAGAATAAGCTATTCATGCTTACCTTGAAAGTACCCATGTCTGAGAATTAGAGAAAGAGATTGAAACAGAGAGAGAGCTGGAGTTCGATATGAAGAAGAAGACCAATGCACACCACTCCTATAAAAATCGAAGCCTCCAGATAATCTCCAACAGTAAACCGACCTCTTCCATCATTGCCCCGCAACCAGGCCAACCAACCTGGTTAGAAACGAACTCAGCATCAGATAGAACGAAGGCTCCAAGTCGTTACAATCGAAGGAGAGGGGGGGGCAAAACGGGGAAGAGCAGAAACTAATTAATCAAGGGCAAACCGTGATTTCACTGTGCTGATGAGCAAAATGAGTTTGCAAAACAGTAAAAAGAAAGGGCATTTCCGTCATTTCACTGTGCTTAGGAACAGTGTTTAGTTGCATTGCGCTTTAGTATATATATAATTTGTGCTGACTACTGGTTTCAATTGTGTAAAATAGTTGTACAAACAGTTAGGAAGGTTGGGAGAGATGGAATTGAGGCAGGAACCAATCTTGTCCCGGTAAGTTATGTTTAGTCTACCCTTTCAAACTTTTATCGATTGTGCAATTTCAATGCAGGGGTGTTTTTCTTGCTTTTAGTACAAATTGAAGATTTGTGATATTCTGTTTGCGTTCTGTGTTTGGGTGCTAGGATTCTATGCCAAGATCAATTGCAAGGGTTTCTTTGACAGTAGTTGCATTGGCTCTTTCACTCTTTGTACTCAAGTCTTTACTGTCTACAGTTTTCTTTGTGCTGGTATGTTTCTATTTCTCTCCTCCTGCAAGAACAGTAGATCGATGATGTTATTTTGACTTGCTTTTTCCAAAATGTATATCAAGTATGCTTGTGCTATCATTTGTGTGTTTGTGTTTTAAAATCAACTTCTTTTTCTGCGTTACTAGTTTCTATAAGGAAATGAGATGCAATGTAGACAAGTAAATTTCCTCTTGTCAGTAAGAGAGCATTATTCTTGTATAATAGTCTTTATTTTTCAAGTACATAAATATTATGTAATTGTAATGAACTAAGCATTGTATGATATCAGGCTACGATGGGACTTGTATACTTTACATTTATAGCTTTGAATAAGGATGAAGGACCAAAGGGGGGTGGAGGCACCACCTCTACACCAAAGGAGGAGGGGATGGAGGACAGTTTAGAAGAAGCCAGAAGAATCATGGAGAAGTATAAGTTGTCAAACAAAGTAGGGCAAATTTTAAGTTATGCTAAGATACGCTCATATTTTATTCTTCTCCAATATGGAGGTATTTATAAAGAAGTACAATCTTAAATAAAATAGGAAATAAATCCAAATTACAATAGAAAATAAATATAAATTACAAGAGGAAATAAATCTCAATTATAATAGGTAAGTAACCAAAATCTTAACTAAGTAAGGACTCGCCAACATAAGTAATATCCAATGATTGTTAATCGTGTAGAAAATATTGATGAAGATGATGTTGATTGCTGCAGTTTTTTTATTACTGTAGTTTTTATTTGTCGATTGCTGCAATTTTTTTATTTTTTATTTTGGTCAATTGTTACAGGTTATGCAGGTTATATTATTATATATATATATACACATATTTATTATTATTTCTATGTTTGATAAGATGATGTTGTTGTGGCGTGTACCAGTATTCATTGATGTTGAAAGTGATGAATCAAATGAACAAAATACGAGAACATGCACAACCTCTAAATATATATATATATATATATATATATATATATATGCATGCCATGCAATTAAGGCTATAGCATTCTGCAACATGTCCGTGCAATTAAATTATAGGCTAGCAAGCATGCCAATTTTTCCAAATTCATGTATTGAAAGTTCTTGGAATCCAAGTTTCCTAATGTACTATATATATAAGCTGATGGATCCAGCAAGGTGCAAAACCTAGCTTTCCCACTGATCTCTCGATCTCACAAGGTCAATGTCAAAGCTTCAAGAGATGGACTCGGCATTGCCTGAAAATATAAAGGAGGTAATTCATAACTTTGACGGTTCCGATGGAGTGTTCGTCAACCGACTGTCATTGACTTCCGACGGCCATATACAGATGCAGGGGAAGCGACTTGACGCTGATATTCTCCATCCGGAAGAGAAAGAAACACTGAATGCTAAACACAAAATGGTAGTTCGGTTTTTCGGACGAGGCCCTGAGCCTGAGGAGGAATATTTGCAAATGCTAAATTTGGTAAAGTACGACAATGGGACGTATTCTTTTGAACAAGGTCGGGATAAAGTTGTGAAAGGGAGTAAACTTAAGAACGAGGGTATGATTGACCTATGGTCCTTCGTCGAAAAGATAGACGAAGAAAACAAGAAAAAAAATGGCCCGTCTTTCCATCGTTATTTTATTATGGCCAAGGTTAAACCAGGGTACGACAAAGAAAAGGTTAACCAGGGTAACAGCCTATATTAGTATTTTTATTATAGTTCTTGGTATGGTTGTATTCAGGGGCGGTTCTGAGGGTGTGTAAGTGGTGCCACTGCACAGGGTCCTTATTTTTGAAGGCCCCAAAATTTTCATATAAATGTCATATATATAACAATCATGTAAAATGTTGACACAAAGTTGTTTATGGTTGTGTTGGTTTGCAGGGCTTTAATCTCTCTTCAGGGTGTGGGATTATTTTTACTTTTGTTTCATTTTATTTTTTGTAACAACAACAATTTAAAAAAGAAAAAGAACAAAGGCAAACACGTTATTTTCTGGTAAGTAATAATTAAAGTCTAAAATATCGATGGTTTCGGAAATATCGGAAGTCCAAAAATACGGAAATATCAAGATATTATCTATATATATAATTGAACTAAAACCACAAAAATTGTAAGAAAAATTGGAATTTTTTTTTAAACTTTGGATGATATTTATTTAGTCATTTATCTATTACTTTATCACACACAAAATTGGAAGGAAATGCATTGCATGATAAGTTTAACTGATTTAAGTTGATTATATAGCGAGCTAACAAACACTGCAAGTATAAAAAATATGTAGTAATTAATGAAAGAAGATTAAACACAACATAATCATTTATTTATAATGATTTACTACAATATTTTACACTTTATACATTGCATATACATGAGTGACTTAGTACCACATAGAGTTCCTATAAGGTTCAAATTTGAGTTATTTACACTAACACCTCCTAAGGCTTTTGGCTTTTTCACAAAACTCTTTGAGGTTTTAGAAATTACAAGGACACCCCATGAAGTTTTAAATTGTTTTCACAAAACTCCATTTCATTGATTTTTCATCCAAAGATTGATGATTTTATACCCAAAAAAATCTCAAAATGACAATGTGGCCTTTGAGATTAGATTGTATATACTTCATTGAAGTTAATTTTTTCATTTGCATAAGTTTTTTTTTATAAAATGAAATCATCAATTTTTGGACAAACAATAAATGAAAATGAGTTTTATGAAAACAAACTGCAACCTCAGGAGGGTGTTCGTGTAATTTTTGAGACCTAATGGGGTTTTATGAAAACACAAGAAACCTCAAGAGGTGTTAGTGTAAATAACTCATAAAATTTTTCACTGTCTTCATCATCTCAATATTATCAATATTATTAGTATTATAGCGATATTTTGGCTAAATGTTGCTGAAGTGTGAGAGAAATTATCGACGTCAATATTTTTCGATATTATTGATACTTATACAATATGTGTATGAATATGTTCCAAAATATCATAGGTCCGAAAAAACGATAATATCCTCAATATTTTGTCGATATTATTGATATGTTAGTCCTTGTCTACAAGTTACAACAATACATGAATGAAAATATAAATGTAATGATAATTTGTTAGGTTTTCAATTCCCTTGATGTTGGTTGCCCTCATGATTTTGTGTTGTAATTTTAATTCCTTTATATATATATATATATATATATATATATAAAACATATAATAAAGAATTAATACGCACGCACCAAGAGAAGTGGCACCCCCACAGATGACCCACACACCAAGTATGTGGAGTTCAAACTCTAGACCCAATACTAGTATACTACACCAAGCAACCATCTAAGAATGTGATAACGACTGCTATTTTTTATGAAGAGAATGAATCTTTTTATCGAAGGATTAGAAAAAAATGGGTCCGGACCTCCTGCGGGAATGATTTGGAAGATCCAAAATAAAAAATAAACATCATATTAGTCCCCATTCCTCAAACTCGATCGATATCATCCTCATTTTCTTGTTCTACACATCAATGTCACCCTCTACTGCGTCCAATTTTGCATTAAAATTAATAAGGGTAATATTGTTAAATCAGCCAAACTAACTTCTTTTAATTAACTTGTTAAAATTCTATTTAAAAATAGTTAATTTGTTTTGTACAATTGTTGTATATTTAATTGTTAATTATATATAGGTTTCGTGTATTTTATTATATGTTACTTTATTATTTTATGATTGTCCTCCAACAAATAGTACTTCGAAATTGATACACTAATTGAGATTAGAGCATTGTAGCTGTTTTTTTTTTAAATAATACAAGTAATATTGGGGGGTCGGTAAATGCTCTTAACATGACTTGAGTTACAAGTCCCTTACATCAAAGCTGCGTGTTTAGAAAAACTGAGAGTGAACCATTTGAAAGTAAAGTATAATTACGGTACTATATTTGATTTTTAGCTTTATTTTTCTTTTTTTGCAAATATTTTTAAATATTTTTATAGAATGTATTTGATATGTTAACCTGAACTAATGATAGAGATAATTGCACAGACGACTAGGGATTCACGACCAGGTTTGAATTTTAGTGGGAAGGTATAGATAAAACTATTGGGTAATCTCAAAAATAAAAAAGTAAAGTTATAAATTATAATGAGGTGGACTCTATTTCAAACCACTAAATAAGCACATTTCATAAGCTAAGTCGCAAATGCCCTTATAGCTCAGTGGTAGAGCGTCAGTCTTGTAAACTGAAGGTCTGCAGTTCGATCCTGCATGGGGGCAAATAATTCTAATCTACTTTTTACAAGCTGTCGATTACCGAAAAGAATGAGTTTTCAAAACCCTCTTTAGATACAATTTAAAGATTGGCATTGACAGCATTATTTGATCTTCACATAAACCTCTTGTGTGTGTGTTTTTGTGTAGCAGAGAAGGAGATTTGGCAATTGGTTCTTCGTATATCATATCATATCCTCCAATGTTAGCTGGAAACGACAAAAGAGAGAACCAGAAGATACAATTTTCCTCCCTACTTGGTAGGTACTGAGACCTCCGATGATCAGCATTCTATAGAGCTCATGTACATCATCTCCTATACAAAAAAAGCCCAAAGATCATGACACAAAATGTTTCATCACAGTGTAGCTTCGGCACGTTTCTGGTTCGGAACTATAAAGCTTGAGTTATACCAAAAAAAGAACCAAGCAGCCGGCGTTTAAGTTTTTCATCACCAAGAGGCTTTAGCAACCTCTTGGAACGTAAGCTCAAGGTTCTCTGAACTTGTATTTAGAGTCTCAATCTCAGATTCAAGCCTACTTACAGCCTCTTTTACTTCCAAAAGCTTCGCCTCCAAGCTCCTCATCTCTTCTTCTGCCTGGTCCTTTTCAAGTCTAGCCTCTTTAAATCTTTTTGATTTTGAAGCAAGACTTACAAGCTGGTCTAGCCGGGCTAGAAGGAATCCGATGTTCATGCCTAAACCCTGAAAGGCTTTCAAAGTCTGATCCCAAGTGGAAAAATTACCTTCTGGGGTTGTAAAATTGCACGCCCTGATGGCATCTGCAATGTTTACGGTCTCAGAAATTACTCCAGCCACTAGTTTGCAGTTCAGACCCTCAAGAAGATGTTCATGAAGGAAAGAGTTTTGACTGCAACAAAGCTCATAATACTTGTTCAAAATGTATTTCGAAAATTCAGAATTTATGATTAAACCATTGACCAGAACGTTGAAGTCATCCATGCATTTCACTTCTTCGAATGTGACAACAGATTCTGAAAGTCTAAGTCCATCCAGAACTTCAAAACCAACATCTCCACTTTCACTTTCAGAGTGGTCTGATATTGGACAAGATTTTGTATTAAAGGCTATTGCATTGTCCTCTGAAATGGGTTCCAAAGTCTCACTTTCTTCCCTTTCACATGCAGTAGTGTCTCCTGCATGATTCAAGACTAAATTCATAATGCGCGCTTTGCCTTGAAGAAAGTAAGAAGAATGACTGTCAAGCCACTTGGCGAAATAACTTTGTGAATTTTGAGACAACTTACCAGTGTCCATTTTTTTGCAAGCATCTAATCTCACAAGGCCAAGAGCGCCATCAAGTTCATCTAATCCATTTGATCTCACAATATACACCTAAACAAGTAGGCAGCAAAAGAATTGAGTGGTTGGCGTGCATTTAGGAGTAGCATATTAAAGCACTAAAATGTCTGTAATCTATGCACGTCAGCCCAGAAGCATTAGGAATTCTTCACTAAGAAAAGTCAATCTTATCCTTTATCTACAGCTAAGCATAAATTATGACAAACTTAAAATTCTACAATCAGCCAAATTGTTCATACCATTTTTCTTCAAACTGCAGGATAAACATTCTCATCATCAGGAGCCACTCTGAGGCCTGACGTGGCCCTATCCCCCTGCAATATTTTCTAAAAATTCTATACATGGGCTTCAATTCATCCTTTTATTACTGTCTTGCTTCAAGATTTTTATCTTTTTACAAGTAAGATGAAGTTATCTTGTAGTCATTTATTGCCTTTGTTTTATTATACATTCAATATTTAATACATGCATATATGGATTCAATCATAGAAAATGTTCAAGATATAAAAAAACGACAACCCCATTTTAGTACATGATTGAGTACTCAATTATTTCGTGCTTTTTTTTTTTTAGTACATTGGTAACGTTACTTTTCTTTGAACTTATGCTTTATATGTTCCCTGCCACACACTTGAAATCCTAGCTCCGTCCCTGCTCATCATCTTGACAGTCATAATGGCCTTCCTAGCATCTATCTTCATATGTTACACTGACAACACCTTGACTTACAAGATTTATCTTGCAAGGCAACGCAAGGCAAGCAATGACCAAATATTTGAATTCTTCAACGAATTCACCAAGTTTAACTAAACGTTACACAATGGCACTTCTCAGCCAAACAATTTCAAGATATTAACAAGGGATCCACACAAAAATTTCAAGAAGGTATGAGTTACCTTAAATTTGGAAGGAGTGACTAGATGGAAAACTATAACATCTCCTTCCAGGAGCTTGTGAGCAATTGAAAACGCTCTCCATCCACCACTCAGTCCCACCTTATCCGCCAGATATTTTGTTTCGAATTCCTCTCCATTTTCATCTTCCAGAGCAATCATTATATCCTGTTTTGGCAAATGCTCACGGCAGAATTTCTTAGGAAGACCCTGCAAAACCAAAGTGAGCGCATATAAATATATCATCTTAATAGTGAAGGGTAATAAATGTGATTTCAAATGCCTTGAGATAATTGTACAAGTTGTGAAGAGAGTGAGTGAGTTTTACCAGCCAGAATCCTCCAGTAACATGTGATGGGAGCATAACTTTGAGTAGGCTAGGGAACTTAGGACCTAGGCTTACTTCAACCTCCTGTGCTCTTTCCAGAACAGAAGACTGAGCTTGGGAAGTATCATATATGCTTTCCACTGTGGCTCTCTTTCGTTTATGACTATTGGTAAAAAGATTGAGGGAGAGTCCAGTGTCACTTTCTAATTATATCAAACAATTATACTAAAAGTTAAAAAAATAAACAGATTAAAAAGTAAATTAAATATATTACAGACTGACCTTTCAGGCATCATTGGATTAGCACTGACTACCTGTATTCAAGAATTTAAAAGATTTTTCAGTTAATTTAGGGTTTGAATCTACTGAAAAAGAAGAGGAGATAGTTGCAAACAAGTAAAGAAACTAAATTGGTCACCAATTCAAAATACAACAAAAAGTTGACCCAGAGTTATGAAATCACAGTTATGAAATCATGTTTCTACAGTTTTAAATAACTGAGAAGAAGAGGAAAGAAAAGCTTTGCTGAAGAAGACAACAGAGAACTCACTTCACTTGCATATAAAAGCAGCTTTATACAATTTACAGGCACTTAATGTTGAACCTAACACATGCAAGCTATCAGTGCTTTCCATAACCTTATAGAGCACGTAATTTCTAGTTTTGATGTGATTTCTGACACACGAAAATGACATAAATGCTGAAACTTAACAAGTGTAAACCCCCCATTTACCATTTGCATTGTCCTCCTTTCAATGCCTAATTAGTGGCGGGCCCCATGCATTTCTTCTTTTCTTTTTTTGGTCATGGCATTTCTTCTTTTTACAAAGTAAGCACAATGTTTTTCCATATTGGGCTGGGCTACAGCACACCCAGTTTTGCAGAAAATATATAGAAATAAATAAGAAAAATATAGCTCAGCCCATGAGGGATTTTGGGTCAAGCTTTTGGGTCCAGTGGTTTGAAACATGAAACCTTTTTCCTAATTTTTTTTCTTTTCATTTGAATCATCAAAATTGCAGACGACGAACATAAGTGAAAACTTGTCCTCTTCAGGAAGTCTGTAGTTGCTTTAAAAGCTCATATTTATGAAATTGTCGAAGACTTTTTGTTCTAAATCGTTTCTAGCAAAAACCCATTTCAGAAAGCTTACAACTTGAAAAGATTATAGATACGTAGAGTTCAACATAGAAAGATGACTAAATAGAGCCCATGAATTGTAGGGAAAGAGAGAAAGAAAGAAAAAGAGAACAGAGCATAGTGTTTCTCACAATGCTTTTGGTCGTCTGTGACTGAGTGAGAGATGAAGATTTCTTCCTAAACATATTTTCCTTGTTCCTTGGTGGTCGTCGCCTATTACTCTGCAAAATCATTTGTAAACAAAACAGTCACATACTCAGTTTGCAAGCAAAACCATAACCATATCTTAGAGAGAGAAAGAAAGAGCGGACCTTGGGTGGTGGTAGGTCAGAGGAGCTCTGTTTCCGGTCTTGAAGAACAGCTATTTGGCCCTCTCACTTTGTGGTTCTGGAGGTCAAGAGTGAAGAGTCAAAGGCGTAAAATACAGAGAGACTTCTTTTTGTTTTTTGGGGCGGTGGTGGGGTTGGGTGGTGTATGACGAGAAAGGGAACGGAAGATGAAAAGACCGTTCGATTTAAATTTTGTATTTCTGTCAGACCCTCAAGGGCCTAGAAGCTTGCCTGAAATGGAGCCAATTTTCAAAAACAATAGGGGCTCTTTGGGTATTTGACAATGCGGATAAAAAATAATTTTATCACCCCTCAATAATTCTCTTACCACTTTTAATCCTAACTTCTCAGCATGGGCAAGTCTTCTTTTATTATGTTTATAAATTTCCGTCGTGATGCATGTATGGATGTGAAAGTAATTTCTTTAAATATTTTTACAGCTCTATAGTATATAATACCTTGTTAAGAGTACGATACATGCTCAATTCAAAAAAAAGAAAAGAGTAAGAGAGGCATGATTAAGGAAACACAACCAAATAATTTTGCAGAGCGAATGTACGCAATGATTTGAGACTGAAACTTCTGTAGGGGTCTTTTTATTCCAGTAGTCTGACGAATAGGGGTGGCATTTTAGACCAAAAATTCACAAAAATCAACCGACAAATTACCGCAGTGGAACCGTAATCGCGGGAAACCGAACCCTATTGTGGTATGAAGAACCGAACCGCATTTGGGGTTGCGGTTGCGGTATTTGATTTTCAAAACTTGCGGTTACCGCAAACCGCGACTATATTTTAAAAAAAAATAAAAAAAATTGCATTTTGTATATAACATTGGTGCTCAAACAACACAACGGGGTCCTTCAAATCCACTCGCCACCACCAACACTTAAGTTTGTAACTTTAATTTGTAACATTGGTGCATTGCATTTTCCTTTTAATTTGTAACTTTAATTAACTTTGAATTGCATTTTTCCTTTGGATTGTAACTTTAATTCATTTTACAATGCATTTTCCTTTTGGTTTGTAACTTTAAAGGATTTGGAATTGGAATGCTTGAGAAGTTGAGGTTGTGAATGCTTGAGAAGTTTAACTTTAATTGAAATGCTTGGAATTGTAACTTTAATTTTATTTAGCTTGTGAATGCTTGAGAAGTTGAGGAGGTTGAGAATTTATATATGCTTGAGAAGTTGAGGTTGTGAATTTATATTTTTTGGTTAAGGTATGCTTAAAATCAAAAGGCTTCAAAAGAAGCATCAAAATTAGGCCTAAAATGTGGAAGATTGGATTTTTATGACACAAAAAGAACTTGCGGTTTTAAACCACTAATTCACGGTAACATACCGTTTTTTGCGGTTTACCGCAATGTGGTAAACTGCAAAAAGCAGTCAGTTTGCGGTTTCAAAAATCACCATACCGCAAATAGTCGGTCAATTTACAGTTTAGGCAAAAATTCAATGTTACCGAACCACAACCACCCCTACTGACGAATGGGCTTAGGTTGCCGAAAAAGAGAAACATGCATGAAATTGCCCATTAAGTCTGAGCTCAAAGGCCCCAAGAGTGTTTCGAAAGAGTAGTTGAGCCTTAGGAAACACCTTGGTCTTCTTCACCAATGAAACCAACAGTCGCTTACAGATAAATTCTTAGTTTGACATGAGAAGCTTGTGGCATAGGAGCTGAGCATTCGTGAGTTTAGCATGAGAGAGAGAAGGCTTGGGTTTCCTACGAGGAACAGAGGCTTGAAGTAATGATTTCGTGAGGATTTGTTGAGGAGAGAGAGACAAATTATGGTGGATGAATAGGTGCTTTGGGTAATTTTCCAGTAGCTTGACGAGAGCTTCGTCAGTCTCAATATTGGCTTGACATATGAGAAAAAGAGAAGTAATGGAAGAACAAGGCTTGAAATCGAAGGGTTCCAGAGATGAGAGGTGATGCTTGCTCTCTCTGGATATGGTTGCTTACCTTCAATCGGAAAGAGAGGAAGAAGATAGAAGCATGGGTGGCTTTAGCATATTCCTGGGTTGCACGACAGAAGAGAAAATAGGGAGAGATGGAGGAGTAAGGCTTGAAATTGCAGGGGTTTCAGGGATGAGAGATGTTGTTTGCTCTCTGGATGTGTGTTTATGGAAAGAGAGGAAGAATATGAAAGAACAAAGCAGGAAATTGAGGGATTCCAGAGGGGATGCTTGCCTTCGATCGGTTTGTTGTGTCTGTCTTTGCGGGGAAGAAAGTGATTCCTTTTAGAGGCGCTGGAAACCTTAATTTTGTCAAGCATCCCTCCCCATTTTCTTCACTTTCTTCCATTTAATCTTGTTTGGTGAAATTTCCCTAGCCTGAACCCATAGGCACGCAACTTTTTGGAGTTCCAAGATCTCAGGCAATTGGACTTCTCCATATGGGTGAAGAGCCACCCACTTTTGTTTCTTGTTTTCTCACCAAAGCTTGAAGAGGAAAGAATGGGTAAGGGTGCTTGGTCAAAAAGGTGATCAGCACAAGGGTTTGCTTGGTTTTGGTGGTTTGGCTACGATCTGGTTTTAACAGAGATGCACGATGTTGGATATTTTATAAAGTGCTGGGCTGGGCTGTTTTGTTTCCAACGGTTTGTGAGTTCCCTTTGATTTCGTCAGACCGCTGGAAGCTTTGGCTGATGTGGGATTTTTTATGAGCTATGGCTATTGGATATTTTTCTAAGATGTTTGGGCCTTTTCTTAAGGTGATGGGTTATTGGGTTTTCTCTCATGCTTACCCATATGTTTGGACTCAAGGATGAGCTTGAGTTTTGGTGCTCCCAAGTAGCCCAAAACTTCCACTCCTTGGACCATTAATGGGCCTCGTGAATACTCGTAACCATCCATATCACAATCCGCTCAGCAAGCCCCAGACATTCGCATGGCTTGGGCCCACTTAAGCTTGTAACGTGGCATGTTGCTTGAATAAGGATTTTCCGCTTGGTGTTGTATTGGGCCGAAAATATATTTGAGCCCAGCCTTGGATTTTTTGGGCCTCAACAACTTCTAACACAAAGAAAACGTGTGGGTAGCACTACATATCAATCCCTTGATCACTTATTTCAAACATGTTACATAGCATTTATAATCAAATGTGTCTTAGAAGAAGAACATACAAATATAGCTCAATTTTAGTTTTTATTTCTTATTTTTTGCGCTAAAGTATGGAGGAAAATGAGAGTGAGAATGGAAGTGAGGATGAGATTGAGAAAAAGAACGAGAAGGGAGGATTTCTCAAAGTTGGCAACGCACTCTTTTTTGTTGTCAATTGATGTCAATATCAAATTAGCAAGTAATTGACATTATGCTTCAAGAATCAAAGAATATGATGACTCAATATTGAACCACAATGCATCATACAAAAGTATTTTAAAAAAACCGAAAAAGAAAAGGGGATTACCTTCCAGTTTCTAGGATATTGAATTGGACTCAAAAAGGTGGAGAAAAAGAGGAGATTCCCAAAAAAGTTGAAGGTAAAGTAAGAAACTGTAAGAGCATCTTCATTGCAAGGGTGTAAAGGGAGATGTAAAAGACATTTATACCAAAGTTGTCGGAAGTTGTTCTAATGGTGGGATGTAAATGAATGCAAATGTAGCATTTGGCCAAAAAATGCAAAACAATATTGACATTTACATCTGATTTTACATCCCCATTTACTGGGCCCCACATGCTGAAAAAAGAGAAGAGATAAAGCAAAAGTGGTAGGCTCTAAACATATAAAAGGTGAGATAGCTACCGAAATACCAGGAATATCATTTTGCTTCAACTGATATAAAATCATTCCTTTTCATGTCCTTTTTACATCTCCAATTTACATCTATCACATTGGAGAAAAAAAACGACATTTACATCTCCCAAAAGTGTAAAGGAGATGTAAATGTGGCTTTACACCTCCAATTTATATCTCTTGCAATGGAGATGCTCTCAGGAATTACATGATGGGTAGAGTTTTTTGAGCTAATTTTATATTTGTTTTATTGCTTTTTTCAATCTACAATACTATCCTTGTGAAATCTGAATGTAAATTTCAAATCAATTTTTTTTTCTTTCTGTTTTTTTAGTTGTGTTTTTTTCCCTTTTTTTTTGGTGAAGCATGTGACCCCAACTGCTTTTGCCTTTTGACATGGCTTTATAATTGTAGAGACATATTACCATCATTGTTAATTTGTTAGTTTACTAATATTTCTTTTCCTTTATTTATTTACTTATTTTAGGTTAGAGGTTTTTTTTCCTCAACTATTCTAGTGATATTTTCTTCACCAATACTTAAGGCTCGTTTGGGACTACTTCTCTAAGAAGCACTTCTACGTATAAGCGCCCTTAGTATGGTGATATATAATTTTTATTTATTTTTAAATTACCATATATATATTTCCAATTATCTCATCACCTTTTTGAGCATGTTTCATGTAATGATATTTATGTTTCTAATGTTAGAATAATTTATATATATAATATTACTATTCCAATCATAATTGATATTTGTATCCCATGATTTATGTATATATACACAGAGAGTTTCTATTGAAGGACACCCTTGTAGGACCTACTCTGCACTGTATTTCACTAACCCAAACTGTTTATTTTGTAGATATTCATTCAAAAATCATCTCTACAAATAATCACTTGAATCCGATATCATTTGATCACTCAATTAAATTATTGAAATTTTAGTACTTTCTTGAAGCACTATGTTCATTGATTTTGTAGGACAAATTAGATGTTTAAACGGTTTCCGATTTGTCTAATTTTTTATAAGGATGATCTATGAATGAAAACCTAAAAAATATATGGTTTGGATCATTGAAAAAAAAATTCGTAGGGTACCCTAAAGGGCGTCTCTCAAATAAAATTATTTAAAAGATCCCTCAATCATTTTTTTTTCGATCTTCTCTAAAAAAACCATAGCCGCACTCAAGTCCCCTTTCTCCTTGTCGACAACCAACCGCAAGGAAGTTAAAGGGGGAGGTGGCCACTGCCCCTTCTCCCCTCCACCCATCTTCCCTTTCCTCTCCTCATCTCCCCTTCTTTTTCTCCCATCTTTTCCCTTCCTCTTATCCCCTCTTCTCCTCCCCTTCCCCTCCTTAGATACTATTTGGATCTAGGTCTGTTTGTCTGTTTATTTTGTTTGATTGTTTTTGCAATATTCTAGGTGCCTGGTGTTGTCTTTGTCTAGATGACAGCAACAGTAGTGACGTTGGATTGTGTCTCTCCTCAGGAGAGTTGTGATATATGGTGGCTAACATTTTGTCTCTGTTTCAACGATGGCGGCAATAACGACACTGGTGGTAGTTGTTGGGATGTGGTGCTCTTCTCTACCCTATGCCGACCAAAGAACTATGCTTGTCATATGAGGTTTTCTTTGTCTGATTTTGAGTTAAAGTGGAGTGCTTCTCAGGGGTCCTTTTACTGTTGTTTATGTGTTCCTCCTGTGTGTTCTCTCCTATTTTTTGTTATGGTATGCCTTGTAGTTTGTGTCGGTGTCAAATGACTATGATTTTGCTCATATAAGGCTTCTTTTGACAGTTGGGATATTCTGTAGTCCTCTCATGTGGGTCTACTGTGTTGGTCTATAGTTGTGGTTCTCGTCAAAGGTCTATGTGTTAGTTTTCATTTTTGATTTGTTCTATTATTGTAATGGTCTGAAGTGACCTGAATCGGACTCTCTTGTTAGTCCATGACATGTGTGACACTCTTTCCTCCCCTAGGGTTTGTCCCATGAGGTTGTCTTAGGAAAGTTTTAATGAGGCCACTATATCATGTTGTTATTTGTACGTCTTTAGTTCTATGAATGAATTCTTCTTCTCAAAAAGAGATCCCTCAATAAAAGGGTATATATATAAATATATATATATATATTCATAATTAAAAGTAGATAAATGTAATATGATAACTAAACAACCATTTACCACAATCACCATTATTATCATATTGTAACTTGCAATAACTTCCGCCACACCATAGCATATAGTTACCTCTAGTTATGATTTCATACTTGGAGTTTCATGGCAAACATTCATGAAACTTGGAACTTTGAATTTATTCTTACGTCTGAAAATGGTCTTCGGCACAAATTATGAGCGCATCTCATTATTCAAGTGTTTTGGACAGGTCTTTTCGTTTTTTTGTAAGCAGGATATTGGCTAGATATTGAAACTTATGATAGAGGAAAATGCAACCCCAAGGCCAGATCAATCAGTCATTTGTGCGTTGGATAATTATAGAGAGAACCAGGAATGGCTACAATATTCCTCCCTACAATGGACATAATTCTATACAAAAGATGGTCAACTGTGTGCCTTGACCTCCAAACCACCAAAAAGCTGAATGATCATGAGATAGGCCTCTTCTTCCTCATGTAGCTTGGGCAAAGTTCTCGTTCTGATCACCAAGGGGCCTTAGCCACTTCTTGGAACAAAAGTTCAAGCTTCTCTGAACTCATATTTCACTCTCAGAGTCAAGCCTACTTATGGCCTCTTTTACTTCCAAAAGCTTTGCCTCTAAGCTCTTCAAGTCTAGCCTCCTTAAATCTTTTTGATTTTGAAGCAAGAATTGCAAGCTGGTCCAGCCGGGCACGCAGGAACCCGACATTCATGCCTAAACCCTCAAAGGCTATCAAAGTCTTATTCCAAGTGGAAAAGTAACCTTCTGAGTTTGTAATCTTGCAGGGCCTGATGGCATCTGCAATGTTGATTGTCTCAGAAATTACTCCAACTATCAGTTTGCAGTTCAGACCCTCAAGAAGATGTTCATGAAGGAATGAGTTTTGACTGCAGCAAAGCTCGTAATACTTGTTCAGAACGTATTTCGAAAACTCGGAATTTATGTTTAAACCATTGACCAAGACGTTGAAGTTATCCATACGGTACATTTCTTTGAATGGGACAACAGACTCTGAAAGTCTAAGTCCATCCAGAACTTCAAAACCAAGATCTTCACTATCATTTTCAGACTGGTCTGATAGTGGACGAGATTTTGTATTAAAGGCTATTGCATGGTCCTCTGGAATAGGTTCCAAATTCTCACTTTGTTCCCTTTCACATGAAATAATGTGTCCTGCATGATATAATTTTAAATTACAGAAATGATACAGGGAGATCAAAGAAAGCAAGAGTTATAACTGTCAAACCATTAAGCAAAATAACTTGGTGAATTTTAAACAACTTACATACCAGTATCGATCTGCTTAATGAAAGCATCTAACCTCATGAGGCCAACAGCGCAATCCGCTTCATCTAAACCATTTGATCTAATAATATAAACCTAAACAAGTAGGCAGAAAAAGAAGTAAGTGGTTCATCTGCATATTCAGAAGTAGCATCTAAAAGCAGTAAATGTCTATAATCTATGCTCCACAGCACCTATGCAAGATCTCCATTCAAGAGGCATTAGGAAATCTTCACTACGGAGAATCAATCTTATCCTTTATCTTTAATCTCTATTCAAGGGAAAACCCTCCTAAAGTTAAGAAAAATATTAACAAGCTGAAAAAATCTACAATGAACCAAATTATTCCTACCTTTTTCTTCAAATCGCAGGATAAAAATTATCGACATCATAACCATCACAATGGCCTGCCTAGCATCTTCTATATATGCATTACATTGAGAACATATTTGATTCACAAGATTTGGTGTGCAGAGCGATGACCAAGTTTTTTTTAGGCATTGAATTTCTTCTTCGAATTCAAGTTTAACTCAATGTTTCACAGCGGCATTTGCAAGTTACAGTCAAACAATTTCAAGATATTAACAAAGGATTGCACTTGCAATCAAATCATTTAAAGATATTAACAAAGAATCCACACAAACATATCAAGAAAGAAGGTATCATTTACCTTGAATTTGGAAGGAGTGACTACATGGAAAATCACAATATCTCCCTCCAGTAGCTTGTGAGACATTGAAAACCCTCTCCATCCACCACTCAGTCCTACCTTCTCCGCAAGATATTTCGTTTCAAATTCTTCCCCATTTTCATCTTCCAGAACAATCATTGTATCTTGTTTTAGCAAATGATCACAGCAGAATTTCTTAGGAAGACCCTGCCAAACCAAACTGAGTGCATATAAATTTACCATCCCAATAGTTCGTGCCTTCAGATAATTGCACAAATTGTGAAGAGAGTGAGTCAGTGAGGTTTACAAGCCAGAAACATCCAGTAACATGTGATGGGAGCATAACTTTGAGTAGGGTAGGGAACTTCGGATCTAGGCTTGCTTCAACCTCCTTTGCTCTTTCCAGAACAAAAGACTGAGCTTGGGAAGTATCATATAAGCTTTCTACTGTAGCTCTCTTCCATTTACGACTATTGGTAAAAAGATTGAGGGATGGTCCAGTGTCACTTTCAAATTATATCAAACAATTATACTAAAAGTAAAAAAAGAACAGATTAAAAAGTAAAATAAATATACTCACTGACTTTTCAGGCATCTTTGGATTAGCACTGACTACCTGTACTCAAGATTTAAAAAAAATTCAGTTCATTATTTAGTGTTGGAGCTATAGCTATTGACAATGAAGAGAAAAGATGCTTACAAACAAGTAAAGAAATTTAATTAGGCAATTGGGTTTCCCGGAAAAAAAATATATATACCCAAAGCTTAAAACTTGAAAAGAGTAAGACTAATTTCTGTGCAGATTCAATAATTTCAACCTCCATACAGTTCAAAATAGAAGAAATCAAAAAACAAAAACCCAATACAAATATGTATAAATAGAACTCATGAAAACAAAGAAAGAAAGAAAAAGAGAAGAGAGCATAGTGTTTCTCACAATGCTTTTAGTCATCTGTGACTGAGTGAGACATGAATATTTCTTGCTAAACAGCTTTTCCTTGTTCTTTGGTAGTCTTCCCCTATTGCTCTGCAAAACCATTTGTAAACAAAACAGTCACATACTCTGTTTACAAGCAAAACCATAAACATACCTGAGAGAGAAACAGGGAGATTGGACCTTGGATGGTGGTGGAGGGTCAGAGGAGGAGCTATGTTTCTGGTTTTGAAGAACAGCCATTGTTTGATTGAAATTGGTGAAAATATGGAAAGATGTAAATACGTTGAAAGAGGAGGAAGATGAAAAGAATGTTCGATTCAAATTTTGTACTTCGTTCAGACTCCGCCAGGGGCTTTTTGGAAACAATACTAGGAACAGTAATGTTGTAGCCACTTTTAAGTTATATATATACTATTCCACTTCCCCCCAAAAAAAAATTACGAACAAAAAGAACAAAAATCATTTAATTTCTATTTTATGTTGGGTTTGGCTCCATTATTTCAATTTTTTTTTAAAACTTTCCTTGTGTTAAATTGGTCTAGTTATTGATTTCCACCTCATTTACTAACATTAACAAATCAAAAGCTACGTAGGCTTCACGTTATAATGTGTAATCTAATACACAAAAAATCAAGAATTAGATTGCTAAGGAATAGTCGACCCCATACTCATTCCTCATCTCTCCAACTTCTCCCATTTCAAATAAATAAACATGACATACTCAATCTTTTCTAATGCAACTGCTACAAATAGGTCATGTAACAGTAGTATTAGCAGGAATGTAGGAGTTATTACAGAGAAGGGAGGGAAGTATTCCATTAACAATAGAGCAAGGGTTTAGTTCAAGATGCATGTTTTTGAAGTAGGATATATACATTGAATTGATTAAGCATCATCTACTTGTCTCTTCTTGTTATTATTTTGTTGAGTGTATATATACTTTCTTGTACTTTTTTTTACAGTGTAATGAATAAAAATATATATAGTTAATTGTTTTCACCCTTGTGCCACAGACTTTTCTATTTTGCTGTCATTATTATTATAAATATTGGGTAAAGTGATATTGTTATGCCGAAAATATGCAGCACACATTTTACTCTCTTTTTTTAAGCGAAAAAAATAGTCTTTAAAAACTGTTGAGTACATGTCCCACGAGAGTAGCGCAGTTGGTTGGCAAAGATTCATGACACTTGGAACTTTGAATTTATTAGCTCCTGTCTGAAGTTTATTTGTGAAAATATACTTTATACGGTCACACAAGTAGCACGTATCAGTATCAGATATAATATTAATAAACACACACGTGATATAATATAAGTGAATTAATGAGACCATGTGTTTCACCGAAATCTTGGTAGGTTTTCATTCTTTATAACCACAATATGGCTAGATATTGAAATTTATGGCCAGATCAATCAATTATTTGTGCATTAGATAGTAATAGCTAAATCAAGAATCACGCACTTTGAAGAATGATTCCTTAAACTCAAGTAGCATGTAAGAGCATGTCCAGCGTAGGCCCTTTTGCCAAGGCAAGAGGCCCCTTTGCAGGGGTTTGGACCTCCAGCGCTCAACTAGCAGCCCGGGCAAGTCCTGGCTGATCATGCCTGGGCTTCAGGCCAAAGGCGTTGACGTCAGCGAGCAAAAAAAATTCAAAAAAATGGAAAAATATTCCATTTTTTAATAAAAAAAAACCAAAAAGTTATGGATGTTTTCCCTATAAATACATAACAATTTTATTCACTTTCCCTATAAATACATAACAAGTTTATATTTTGTTGCATATTCTTTTTTTTTCCTTGCCCTTGCCCTGGCCTTTTTGGGGGTGGAACCAAAAAAGGCAAGGCTGCCACTATTCATGTGAATAGTAGCAGCTCTTGCCTTGCCTTTGCCTTTGCCTTTACCTTAGCCTTTTGGGGTGGACATGCTCTAATAGTTCCATAAATAAGGAAAAAAAAAGACAGCATTATTGGATCTGACATAAACTTGTGCTTGTGTGTTTTTGCGTAAGAGAGGATATTGGCAATTGGTTCAATAAAAAAATCTTCCATTGATAGCTGGAAATTGCAAAAGAGAGAACCACAAGGTACAACATTCCTCCCTATTTGGTAGGTAGCTTGTGATACCTCCAATAATGGACATAATTCTATACTGAAGTTACCCAAAATCTCTGCAGTAAGACAACTGCAGGGCTCAAGCATATCATCTCCTATACAACAAAAGCACAATTATCATGAGACACGACTTTTGTTCCTCATGTAGCTTTGGCACAGTTCTGGTTCTGAACTAGAACGCTTGAGCTATAACTTACACCAAAAAAGAGCCAGAGACATTGAAGTTTTCTCATCACCAAGGGGCTTTAGCCACTTCTTGGAATGTAAGTTCGAGAATTGAAGTCATATTTATGGTCTCTTTTACTTCCAAAGGATTTGCATCCAAGCTCTTCATCTCTTCTTCTGGATGGTCCTTTTCAAGTCTAGCCTCCTTCAATCTTGTTGATTCTGAAGCAAGACTTGCAAGCCGGTCCAGCCGGGCACGCAGGAACCCGGCATTCATACCTAAATCCTCAAAAGCTTTCAAAGTCTTACTCCAAGTGGAAAAATCACCTTCGGTGGTAGTAATCTTGCAGGCCCTGATGGCATCTGCAATGTTGACTGTCTCAGAAATCACTCCAGCTATCAATTTGCAGTTCAGACCCTCAAGAAGATGTTCATGAAGGAATGCGTTTTGACTGCAACAAAGCTCATAATACTTGGTCAGAATGTAATTCGAAAACTCAGAATTTATGACTAAACCATTGACGACAACGGTGAAGTTCTCCATGCATTTCACTTCTTTGAAAGTGACATCAGACTCTGCAAGTCTAAGTCCATCCATAAATTCAAAACCAAGATCTTCACTATCATTTTCAGACTGATCTGATACCGGACCAGACTTTTCGGTTTCATATGGAATAATCTGTCCTGCATGATTTAAAATATAGAATGACGTCACAGGGGGATCAGAAAAGGTAAGAGTTATGATTGCCAAGAAATTTAGCACAAATAACTTGGTGAATTTTGAAACAACTTACCAGCATCAATCTGTTTAGTGCAAGCATCTAACCTCATAAGGCCATGAACGCAGTCCACTTCATCTAAACCATTTGATCTAACAATATACACCTAAGAAAGTAGGCAGCAAAAGAATTGAGTGGTTCATATGCTTTCAGAAGTACCATCTCAAACAGTAAAATGTATATTTTCTTTGCTTGATAGCCAAGCATTAGGAATTGTTCACTAAGGACAATCAATCTTATCATTTTTTTCTCTTAAAATACCCTACCTGAAGTTCAAGGAATATGACAAACTCAAAAAATCTACAATCACCAAATTACCCTTTTCGTCAAATCACAGGATAAACATGTTCATCATCGTCACAATCATAATGGCGTCCCTAGAATCTATCTTCTATATATACTTCACATTCAGAACAACTTTGATTTACAAGATTCGGTTTGCAAACTCGTCAAGTTTAATGACACTTGCAAGCCAACAATTTCAAGATATTAACAAAGGATCCACACAAAAATTTCAAGTGGTTAAATCAGTTACCTTAATTTTAAAAGGCGCCACTACATGGAAAATCACGATATCTCCCTGCAGTAGCTTGTGAGCAATTGAAAACCCTCTCCATCCACCACTCAGTCCACCCTTCTCCACAAGATATTTCGTTTCGAATTCCTTCCCATCTTCATCTTCCAAAATAATCATTGTATCTTGTTTTGGCAAATGCTGACAGCTAAATTTCTTCGGAATACTCTGCCAAATCAAAGATAGCGCATATAAATATATCATCCTAATAGTCCATGCCTTTAGATAAATGCACAGATTGTGAAGAGAGTGAGTAGGGTTTACAAGGCAGAATCCTCCAGTAACATGTGATGGCATCATAACTTTGAGCAGGACAGGGAACTTAGGATCTAGGCTTGCTTCAACCTCCTTTGCTCTTGCCATAACAGAAGACTGAGCTTCGGAACTATCATATAAGCTTTCTACCTTCACTCTTGTAATAACTCTCTTTCGTTTATGACTATTGGTAAAAAGATTGAGGGTCCAGTGTTAGTTTAAAACTAAAACAAATAAGTTTTATAAGTAAAAGCAGATTAGAAAGTAAATTAAATATACACTGACCTTTGAGACATAATGGGATTAACATTGACTACCTGCATTCAAGAAGTTGCAAGATTTTTTAGTTAATTCAGTATCTGAATCTTAATCTATTGATAAGAAATGGAAAATTCAAAAATCTTTTTTTCTTTTTCTTTATTTTGTTTTTCATTTCAATCGTCAAAACTTCAGACCATGAATATAATTGAAAACTTGTCTTCTGCAGGGAATCTGCAGATGGTTAAAAAAGGCTCATGCTTACGAAATTTTCCAAAACTGTTTGTTCAAAAACGCTTCCTACTAAAAACCCATTTCAGAAAGCTTGTAACTTGAAAAGATTAATATTATTCAATAAATTTCAGACCAATGGTAATCATCAAACCATGTCGGCGTCTCCTTCAAAATCGGAAATAACAAAAACCCAATACAAAATAGTGCTTCTCACATTGCTTAAAGCCATCAGTTCGAGGCATGAAGATTTTTGCCCAAACAGCTTTTCCCTTTTCATGCTCTGCAAATCATTAGTAAACAGACAGTTACATACTCAGATTACAAGCAAACCCACAAATCATATCTAAGAGAGGAAGAGAGAGTGGACCTCGGATGGTGTGTAAGAGAAGTTCCGGTTCTGATCTTGAAGAACAGCCATTGGCTCCCTCATTGCCATTGATTATGGTCCTATGGAGGTCAAGAGCGAAGCCAATAGGCTTAAATATGGATGTATGAGAAAGGGGAGGATGAAAAGACCGTTGGATTTCAAATCTTTTTATTTCTAAAATGGAGCCAATTTTCAAAAATACGAGGGGCAGTTTGGATATTGACACTGTGGGTACAAAGTATTCGTTTCCCCCCAGAAAAATATTTACTTAATTTACCAAAAAAGTTACCATTATTGATTGGAAATCAACTTAAAATGGCTCACCGGTTACAACTAGAATTGGGAAAAGCTATGAAAAAGGACTTTTGTTGTAGCACTCTTCTCAAATAGATCTATTATATCGATGTCATCTCGATATGTTATTGTCAATATTATTCCATTATATCGATAATATAAATAGCTTAATGTAGTCTCATTATGACATTAATAAAGTATCGATATTCTGTTGAAATTATCGATTTTTAACACTAATAATCCTATTTGAGAAGTTTTCACATTATAACTTATTATGGTAATATTTATCTTCATGATGTTACAAGAGTACTCAAGTGTGGATCCCAATTTCAAAAGTTAAAGCAGTGCTCATCCTCATGAAAAACATTGACATCAAGCTCTAGGGTGGCTAATAACCGAAAACCAACCCATACAAAACCTGTGTTGCATTTTAGAGGCAACAGATGCAACCAAGCGAGTTGCCATGTTGCAAGAATCCTTTTTTCTTGCCTTCATAAAATTGGCGTTTATCACTTTTAATCATTGTGTAACACTACCGTTTCACCCTACGTGGTTATATTTATTTTGTATAATTATGATGCATGTTCAGCGAAGTGATTTTGTTATAACCTGAGTACTACTAGATGCACCAACTATTTACTGATGCAATGTGCTAGTATCCAAGAGTATTTATGACAAATTTATTTTCTTTGAAAGTGTTGGCCAAAAATTAATGTTTCGTGTTTACCCAAGAGTTCAGTCCACAAACCACAATTGCCCATGCTGTATATCTCTATTTCGTTTCCTTGAGGGAAATAACTTCCACGTCGCGGGTGCAATGCAACTTTATCTTATGCTCATATAAGGGTGTATTGAAATGATCTCATACTTGAGTAAATGGCAAACATTCATGAAACTTGGAACTTCGAATGTTGCTGACATCTGAATATTGTCTTCAGCAGCAGTTCATGAATCATTCAAGACTGTGTAGTGTATATCTTGTATTTGACATATGGGTCTCAGAAGGAGAGCCTGACCATATGGTATCCACAAGCTATATAACTAAAGTGGCATGTGATAGCTAGAGGATGAGGGTAAAGATCCTTTGTTTAAGCTTGCATTTAAGTTAAAAGGAGAAGAAAGAAAAAGAAAAAAAAACATTTACACCCAGAAGATTCTTTGGGAAAAGAAAAATCAGCAAAGGATTTGATTATAATGCTAGGCATATGTATTACAACCAATTTATGTGGAATCCCTAGATCTACTTCTTCAAGAACAAAAAAAAACATCCTAGCATTAGCAAGGTAAAGTGTTCTTCCAAACCCTAAGGGTCTTGTGTGTGTGTGTGTGTGTGTGTGTGTCTATTTTCTTTTTCGATTCTCCAGGTCATGTCCTAAAACTATATGCCAGTTGTAGCTAAAGTATACTTCTACTCACCATGGAGCATCAACCTCTACCTGGAAGATAAACTCAAGCCTTTCGTAAATTTCTTTTAAAGCCTCTATCTTGGCATCAAAACTTACCATCATCTCTTTCAATTCCAAAAGCTTTGAGTCAAGAGCTCTCATCTCCCCCCTGCACAAATTTGCTCAACTTTATCTTCTATCCTCTTTAATTCCACAGCCTCTTCTGATCTGAAGGAAGGACTCAGAAGCCGCTTCAGTCGCGCATGTAAGAATCCAACATCCATACCCAACAGCCCAAAGGCATTTAAAGTCTTCTCCCACATTTCGTAATCAGCATGAGAGGCGGACAGCTTGCGAGCTCTAATGGCATTAGCAATGTTAGTAGTTTCACTTATTATTTCAGCAGCCAACTTACTGTTAATACTTTTGAGGAGATGATCATGCAGAAATGAACCTCGTGAGCAGCATAGTTCGTAATAGTTAGTCCTGAGCTGTTTGGAAAGCCAAGAATCTATAGTCACACCATTCACAAGAATGGTGAAATTCTCAATGCTTCTAACATCTTCAAAATCAGCTGCTGGTACTGGATATCTAATGCCTCCTGGAAATTTTGAGCCAAATTTCTCATTGTCTTCCTCAGTTTGATTATCTATAAGCTCAGGCTTAGTATCTAACATCAGACTTGTCTTTCGAGTGTTGCCTTGGCAAACATCACTTGAAAGAGGCTTTGGATGGTTTTCCTCTGCATAATTTTTCACCAAGTTAACATTTCAAGTCTCCATGCCGTGATCTCATAATTTCTGTGAGAGAGAGAGAGAGAGAGAGAGAGAGAGAGACAGACAGACAGACAGACAGACAGACAGAGACAGAGACAGAGACAGAGAGAGTATACCAAGCACTTCATGTTTGGCGCAGGCATTCAATTTCAAGAGGCTAAAAGCTGCATCTACTTCAGCTAGATTATGTCTTCCCATTATGTACACCTGTAACATTGTGTAGAGATCAACATTATCAAGAAATTAGAACCCCATGGGGATAGAAATCAGGAAATTAGACCCTAAACCCACATGCAAGGGCAGATGGATAAGCCTCATCGTAGCAAGAAATGCAAATTAAGTGGACAAGTGGGTATTAAGAACCAAGCTGCTCTTGTAAAATTTGCACACAAAAAATGTGCCCGGGAAACAACAGTGGAATACCTTAAATTTCAAAGGCCTGACCAAACGTAAAACTAAGAGATCACCAACTCGTAACTTGTGTGCAGTACAAAACTTTTTCCATCCAGCACTTAGTATCCTCTTTACGGCAAGAAAAATAATTCTATATTTTTCCCCACTTTCAACTTCCAGGGTTAATGTTGTATCATGCAATGGTAAATGCAAATGGCAGAATTGCTTCGGCAGAGTCTGTCAAATAGAAAAATTAAGTGCATAATTAGTTATGTATTTGTCCATGGCTCCAAGTCCAGTCCTTCTAAACTTGGCGCATAAGTTATGACTTACCAGGCAATTCCAAGAGGAAACATTTGAATGTATCATAGACTTAACAACGATGGGGTATTCAGCTCCAAGAATTGCCTGGATCTCCTCAACTTGGGTGCTGGCAGAAGACTTTTCATGTTCGTTAAAATTATCAAACATGGTTCTCTTCCGTTTACAGCTAGTTGGTCAATAAACAATCAACGTTAGATACTTAAAGCAATTAAGTGTTGAAGCTAATTAACAAAACATTTTAAAAAAATATACCTACCCTACATGCTTCCGAGGATCCCCAGGAACTTTCTGTTAAAAAACCATAAGAATTTTCCCTTCAATCCTTTATTGAATTATTGAAGAAAATATTACCATCAACATTATCATCCACATAACTGTGTATATGAGCCATGACATGCAGCATAATACACAGTAGCATAGATAAATGTACAAGGGCTGTATAAAAAATGTGACTACAAGGTATCAATTTGCAAATAACAATTCATTGGGTCAGTTTATCAAACATGTACAAGACAATAAATGGGCCTGTTCTTGGCGGGCATATTTTTGGTTTCCCAAATGATTGTTAAGGCACCCAACAGAAAAGCAGACCAAGTTCAAAGAGAATGCAATACCATCTTAACATGCCAAACAGAGCAAAATGGAAAATATCTTTAAAATTGCAAAAATAGAAAAGAAAAAGCAGAGCACATGGGTTCTCTGAGCTCAATATCATACTGAATATCAGAAAAATCATCTTAATCAGTGAGAAAGATGCAACCATAAACTTTTGGTGTGCAAATAAATGACAATGAAAATGGTTCTCACTCGCTTGGTCATATGGGTCGAACTTAAAGGACTTCTCCGAGTGTTGAGCACATTTTTCTTGGTCTTCCATGGCTCCCTCTGCTTTACCTGCGATTGAACAACTACCGTTGAGCAAATAAATTCACAATCTAGAGAGAGAGAGAGAGAGAGTTATATATATATATATATATATATATATATATATACCGAAGGGGAAGAATGATGGGTTCTTCGGCGGCTGCGGAGAGATAACTGGGAAACACTCAAATAGTCTTCTTCTTCTTCTTCTTCTTCTTCATTTTCTTGCGGAACATACTCAGGGTCAGAGAGTTCTTCTTCCTTGACATTCATGGTAAGCATGAAGTTTTGACTGTGTTTCCACTCGTGGGTCATCGCCATTGGAATTTGACAGACTCTCAGCCTCAGAGCTCTGTCACCTCACTGGTCACTGCCTTTCTTTTTCTCTTCTGTCAATAGGCATTCACTAGTGTTAGTGATATCTTGTTAAAGAAGGAACCTTGCCTAATTGCTGGTTTTCAGACTCATAATTTCGTATTAATAATATGACAATACGGCACACCATTCTGGAAATGGTATAAGTAGGTAACTTCTCAACGCTGCACTGCATGACCATTTGTGTGTGTATATATGTAGATGGTGGAAAATTGTTGTAGTTTCAATTAATATTTCAGATTCATATCATTTATGTATTTCTTCCCAATTTTATTTATGACAAATTATGAAATTCGAGCTCCCTTAAAAATGAGCCATGGTTCATGTTTTATAATACAAAATTTACATACATCTATACTTATTGAGAAGAACTTTGCAATTGTTTTTCCTCCTATATTTACAACGATTAAATCTTACAGTTAGGATCGTTCAAGCAACGCATCTAGTAGTGTTAATTGAACGAACGATTGTGTCCGCGCTACAAAGGACCTACAGTACATACAGACTATTAGCTTATGCAAACCAACTTTGCAACCCACTCTTGGTGATATGTATCATCATCTACCATCAAGATCAGTGATCTATACATTCCGATGGTTCGTCAGATGGACAAAATCTGTCTTAAACATATATACGTGGTTATATACATGCGATTATCCCTCGTTCGTTCTGTGCACTTCATGCCAGAGGACCAACTAGTTGGAATGAGCATGCAAATAACGTACGCCGGATACCCCAGAAGGTGTCTGAAAAGGCAGACCTCACCTCCAACTCTTGGGTTGCTACCGCTAATTCTTCGTGCGCCATTCTATGCCACGTAACAGATCTCCTTCAAAGGCAAACCTGTAAGAGAAGTCATAATCTCGAGCGACGAATGCTTTTGAGACCATGAGGTGGTGAATTCCTACGAGCAGAGGCAAATGGCTGCCCATTCAAAGACCCACAAAATTTGATATCCCAACCCTCGACGTTCTTAGGGACACAAACATCAAACAGGACTTGGCCGAGTACACTATGTGCACTAATGCTTGGGGGCTTGGGCAGAGAGATTGATCTTTCTTTCTGTTCATCTTGCAATGACCCAGAGTCCCTAACATTATGATTCTCTGCTGAACTTGGCAAGAAGAAGTGGTCGCTTGGTTCCACTGCAACTCTTCTGAGGCTCTGGTTAGAATTTACAGCTACTGTCCGGAGATCACAGATTAGTTCAGATATCTCATCGTGCATGCCTTCCATGCTAGCATTTTGACCTTCAAGTTCTTGAATTCTTTGAGAAAAAACCATAGCTGCCTTCTCAAGGAAATGAGTAACAGACGACCTGTATTGTATTGGATAATGCTTATAATGACCTGAAATGAAAATAAAGTTATGTTATTTTAGTTCTTATGTGCAATAAGCATGGAAGTAAACCAAGAGTTGACAATGAGAAAAATACTATGCACTGTTCATATATCCGATGAGTGTTTCCCAAGTTTTTTTTTCTTGCAATATCTTGGAAGACAAAACCCTCCAATAACCTCTTTTTATTGACAACTCTAAAGTTATACATTATCCATTTCTGGGAACTATTTCAGCAATTTTGCAAACTCATTTTGCAGTCTAATAATCTTGGCATAAAATATGCAAGCTCATGTGTTTAACGGTACAAGACCCATTGAATAACAGCCTCCAAGTAAGAGAATGCAAGTCCCCAAAGTCTACTTCTCCTATTTTTTACACTTTCTGTTTGTCCAAGATAAGATGGTGCCCACAAGGTTTCACAAAAAGTTAAGAAGATATTTACAATAATTGCTATTCAAGAGTGTTGCCTCAACACGGCATAATTTCACTCAAAAAAGAACATAGATATTTCATTAAATATAACGAATTATTATAAAAAGTACGTTAAAGAACCAGTGCTAAGCTATGTTTAGAGTTTTAGTGGGCAAAAAAGAAATTGAAAATCCACACAGAATACTAATAACAGATAAAGAAAAAAGCTAAAAAATAAAAAATAAAAAGAGTTTTGAAACAAACCTAGGTGAGGGGAGCCATTCAATTTCACAAGATTGACATCTCCTCCAAGTTCTTGTAAACGTTGAGTAAAATTGTAGATAATATGATAAGGAGCCAGATCATCTTTATCAGAGCATAAAACGAGAAATGGAGCACCCAAATTCTACATGAAAAAGTAATTATTGCATTAATTAATAGAAACAAACAACAAACAACAAGCGGGTAAAGGCTAAATCAGAACTTACAACAGAGGAAAACAAAGCCTGCCAATACTCAGCGCACTGGGATTCAAACCTAGTAAGATACAAAGCATCCAGACCAGAAGCAATGCCTTTAGCTAGCCAAGAAACCAGTTTTGATGATCCAGGCATCTTTAGAATGGCTGGGTGTAGTCCATATTGAGTGCCCAGATCACTCGTAAAATCAACTGGACCAGAATCATAGATGTGTCCGGTAATACACTTTCTCACCAATCGATATTCGGCCTTCACAAAAGTTAAAGAAACTAATAAGAATCAGTGTCTAGGATGAAACTGTTGGATCAAATGGGCATTAACAAAAAAATATAGTCCAGAAGTTTTAACAGAAATACAAAAGAAATGCATACCGGATAGAGCTGACCTTCACAAATTCCCTCAATAATCTGCATTTACATGTGCTAAAGTCATTACACAGTACCGCCATTGTAACGAAATCAGTAAAGACCAGTTAAGACTTACAAATAATAAATAAAAAAATTCCTGAAATAAGTTTATCAGTATCAAATACAAAATTGGTTATCTATCATTTATGAAAGTTACCTGAAAAACCTTGTACATACACGCTTTTGTACCAGCAGAAAGAGCCACAAACACTACAGGGCATGGCTTAATCCTTAGCTCCTGCAAACCCAAAATACATAAATGAATAAGTACTCAACAGATTACAATTGAGCAATATTAAAAGCTATACCGATGCCTAATTTATCCCAGATTAAAAACAGATGAAAGATTCGTATGGAACGGGATCCCACACCATACTGAAGTTGGGCTTTTCATTTTTTGCGTAGGTGTAAAACACGTACACAACTACTCAAACAGTCATTAGCCAGGCATCGCACAACAGCTCCATATTATGCATCAAATCAGAAGAAACATTTAAAAATTGGCAAACTAGTACGGAAACTGACCTCAACAAGCTCATTGAGAATAACAAAGGCGGACGACATGGCCTTTTCGGGATCGAATCTGCACATGATTTCATCATAACGGGAACAAATTAGCTCGAAATGCAGCAAAATGAAATAAAGATCCAATCTTAAAGTCCTTCCATGAATCCCAAACCAAAATTTCTACCAATTACAAACCAACCGACGAAAGTTCCAATACACAAAGAATCCCAGGACGTAGGACAAGGACAAATAAAAAACTTATGCATGCTGTGTTTAACTGGTGAGAACATGTGAGAAAAGCCACTTACGCATGGAGAAAATGGGAATGGCAAACGAGGGAATTCCAACCGAGAGACGAATACAGATCCACGTAATTCTGCAAGTGTCTCTCGTGAATCGAAACCCAAGCGAAGATGACAGCGATTCCTTTTGAATCAGAGACCTCTTCCTTCCGTCCCCAGAAGATACCGCCGCCACCACCACCACCACTGCCACTACCTCCCCCACCCCACATAACTTAGCTTCTCCGCTACTCGGGGAATTTGGAATTTTGGGAATTTGGGGGAATAATATTTTGGAATTCTAGGGTTTTGTGGATTTGTTAGATTGCGAAATAGTGGTTGGAGAGGTGTTGGCTTGTTAGAGCCACTCGTGTTCTTGTGTGAAATCTCAAACTCTGAGAAGAGAAAACGATAGGGGCTGCTGATCATGACGCTCATGGACCATGAACCGTGGGGGTGGGGCCGCCGCCACGTCAGACCGTTCGCACCACGCGCATTTTAGGATAAGCCCAGCCACTTTGGAAACCTGCTGGCAAATACGGATCAGGACAGAAACTTTCATGCAATCGGGATAATATTTTTGTTATTTCTGACCAATAACGTAATAACAATAATTATTTTGCGTGTCATTATATTATTGAACAGATATAGCAAAATAGTCATATCTTCTTTACAAGTTTTTTTAGTGGATTAGGTCAGTTAATCACTACAATAAGAGCATCTGCAATCATGTTCCTTATTTTTTAGTTAACATTTAGTAAAAAAGACATAAAAACTATTTTAGGAGCTCTCTATACAATTTGAATTCCAATCATACTTCATACTTTAGAGAGTCATAAATGCAACATTAAATTATAGGGAGCCAATAGAAGTCATTTCTCTCTCCTCAGATGTAAAAGCTCCTAGAGATCTCTCTATTTTAGGAGTTAGGAGCATGGTTGGAGATGTATTTTTCAATTCCTCTCTAAAATTTGTCTAAGGAGGTAGTTTAGGGAGTCCATTATAGATGCTCTAAGAGCATCTACAATCATGCTCTTTATTTTTTAATTAAAATTTAGCTAAAAGCACACAAAAGTTATTTTAGAAGCTCTCTATGAAATTTGAACTCCAATCATACTCCCTAATTTAAGGAGTCATAAATACTACAGTTTTTTTTTAATTCAATATGATTGGTCCATCTCTATAAATATATATATATATATATAATACTTAGCATTAATTAAAAGTTTAAAGTATGTATAAAACAAAGTAACATTAAATTATAAGGAGCCACTAAAAGTCATTTCTCTCTCCTCAGATTTAGGAGCTCATAGAGATCTCCCTATTTTAGGAGGTGGATAGAAAGTATGGTTGGAGTTGTATTTTTCCAATTCTTGCCTATAATTTGTCTAAGAATGTGATTTAAGGAACCCATTTTAGATGCTCTACAATCACTATTGGGCCTAACGCCTTTACATATCCATGCCAACAAAATAGGTACTTGCATGAGTTAAACTAAAGTGTTTTTCTATTAAACTCCACACCTTTCTTTGTTCACCCAAATACTTAAATCATTAAGCTTTTAAGTTTTATTATTGTGTAAAAAAAAAAAAAAAAAGGTCATTTAACTTAATATTTAACCCTAATACATCTATACACACACCCCACCATTCTTCATATTAAGTTTTAGAAAAACACAAACTCCTCTACACCCTATTGCCAGATTACTCTTCTCTTTCAATTCAAGAACCCTACTACTCTTACTTTCTCTTCACAAAACCTCCTAGTTCATTCTCAATGCTACTACACATTTGACAACAATATTTTTATCTCTTCAAGTAATGTGAGGTTGAGATGAACTTAGAATGGTGAGGGACAAGATAGCAGGGTGTGAGGTGTGAGGTTGATGAGTTTTTTTTAAATTTGTTTTCTTTTTTTCTGTTGGGTGTATATTTAGAGGTAGTTTGGGAAGATAGTGGGGTTTTCTTAGAAAATTGTGAAATTTTGAATTAGAAATTGGGGTGAACTTAGAATGTGTGGTGAACAAGAGAAGTACGGGATTTAAATAGAAAAACTCTAAACTAAATAACCACTAATTCTATTATGAAACTTTTGGAAACTTTTCTTTTATTGTGTTTGGCTTGCAACAAATTTTTTTTTTTGGGTGCTATTGTTTGCATTATTCCTTAACAACACTTTGATATGTGGGTTTGACGCATGTACTAGGGAAAACTATTTGAAGTTATTCAACCTGAGCACTTTATATTTGATCCAGAAAAAAAAAAGAAAAAAAAAGGGCAATTTAAAGAGACATGTTAGTTATACGTATAGTTTTAAGAACTTTACCAAAAAGAAAAACTACGCTTTAACCCAAGATACGAAAAAAGAAAAAGTAATGGTAACAAGAAAAGTTCTCCACTTAGTTCTTCTCGAAATATGTCATTAATATGGTTGAAAGGTTGAATTTAGTGAATAATTATAGTGTGGTACGGTAGTATAGGTATATGGTATAACTTGTCCATATGTTATAAAATAAGTGGATATTTATTGATATTATTCCCAAAAAATAGGAAATATCAACCATTATGTCTACCCATGTTATAATACATATACAAGCTATATCACATTATCGTACTATAGTATCAGTCTATAATTTGTCGTACTTAGGAGGTGAGCGCGTCAATGACATTACATAATATATAATTGTTCATATAATGGGACAACTAACGTGATCAAACAAGTTGTGGTGATTAATTTAACATAATAAAAAATATACCATTTACTTGAGTGATCCAACAATTTGTTCTTTTAAATTGGATTGCCATCACTTTAATATGATATGTTTCTTATTATAGTGTCCCATGTTAAGTGCTTCAACATTGTTTGTGGTGTGTACACAAATTTTCTTATAAAATGTTTTAATGCTTCTCACATGTATATCAGATATAGACAGTTGATGTGACTTAAAAATCAAATTGTCAATAAAGCTAAAAAGATATGATAGCCCAACGAGGTCTAACTTAGTGAAAAATAGTCTTAATTTGCATATCAGAGGTCTCAGGTTTGAATCCTCACAGCATTATAGTTGTATGTGTACGAGAGAAATCCCCCTCCTTTGTAATTTAGACTATTGCTTATACTAAAAATATATATAATAACTTTAAGAATGCAAACATAAAATTACACCAAACAATAATGGAAAAGAAAGATGGAAGTTATTTTTTCCTACGTGTAAAGTATACTTTTCTTTTTACCAAAATCCTACGTGATGAGTCCACATGCACTACAAAGTCTTCCATCGTCTCTTTTCTCTCAACTTCTTTCCAATGTTTTCTTCTCAATTTCTAGCAATATTCTCTCTTTCAACTTATTTGTTCAAGAAAAAGTTATGCCGTTTTCAAACAGTTTTAATTGCTTTAGGATGATGTCCACTTTATGTAGCTAGTGTCAAATACTTCAATTATTTAATTAAGCTATTCTATTAGAGAACATTCTTGTTCACCACCCACCCTTATTTGGTGGTGTGCATTACCATCACGTTAATTGTTGCTGATTAAGTTTAATTTTTGAGATTCGAAAAGCAGATAAATTATATCACACTCATTCAACATCGATTAATGTGATGATAATACTCACCACCAATTAACGTGGTGAGCGAAAATGTCCTTAAAAAAAAGTTCGGATAATTCCTGCCAAAAAGAAGAATATTAACGTTAAGTTGACCATTCTTTGTTTAGTAATTCATACTTTTGATTCCACTCTTTGTTATCTTTTTAGGAGCAGAGGGCCAAAAGATCATCGGCTCAGAGAATCAAACACAATTGACCAAGAAACGTAGCCCAAAGAAAAAGCTCCCCTCATCCACAAAGGAGCTAGAAAATCTAGAAATCAAGCCCAACCCAAATTGGGGTTTTTGTGGCACCCTATAGGCCACCTAATTTTGTATTTTGTTTTAATTTTCTTAAGCTTTGGACACCTTGGTAACGTTTTAAGTTTAAATAACCAGCTTTAATTTGGTGGCCTAAAAAGCAGTTGGGTCGTGACCAAATTAAACATTTCTGCAAACCTAACGTATCTGTGTTTATGTAATTAGCTAGCTCATCAAGAATGGGAGAGAAAGAAAACCTAACGACCATGAATGGTCTCATTCTGATAACATAAATGGAAACCTAACAGATCATGGAGAGACATAACTACTTGGAAAAGAAGAGAGAGACTTCACCATTTTCATTTTGCATGAAAGACGAGGAAGCTACAAGAAAATTATATGAACCTTTTATAGAATTCAGATACTCTGTCATCCACCTTTTTTTTCTAACTTTAATTTGGCATTTGATCGGACAAAAAATTAATCGATCGATTGCAAGGATAGCAATTTTACTTGGTTAATCATAAAAAACTAGCCAATGGTAGTAACACAAGGTTATCCACATACGGACTTCACAACGAGTTTTCAATCACCAATAAAATTACAATTAGTGTACAAATTAAAAACATGAGTAATTTTTCATTCTAGTATAACACATGAATTAATAATATCGCATATTAATATTCTAATCTATAATAATTTATCTACACTCAAAAGGACGAGTTCACGAATCCGCCTTTTAACCCACAAATTGAAATGAATTAGTAGTTAAATTGATTGAGGACCACCCACACATGCATAATGATAATGAATGGCATAGAGAACACTAATATTAAAATGTTAGAAAGGATGTGGTTACCACTTTTTCAGAATTTCAGAACTTGTTAAAGAAAAGGAAAAAGAAAAAAGTAATGTTTAAGTAGAGGTGGTGTGTGGGGGCTTGAATTTTACCCAAAACTAACACTGAAATCTTCAAATCTCGAACGCTTAAAAGAGGTAAAAGAAAGAAACACCAAAATCGAAACCAGCGTCCCTCATTAATAAGCAAGCAACATTCTTTTACCCCCCACATCCCAACCTCTCTCTCTCTCTCTCTGACTTTGCATTAAAATTAATGTGCATCAGATCCGAAGCCAACCAACCAATGCATCTACCCTCACTCCACAATTGCATGTGAGGCCCTCTTCTACTCTACTTCCCATTTCACCTTCTGAAAAACATGTAATTCCCTCACTAACCACATCTTGAGGAGCAAACGATACTACACTGTACACACTTTTTTTTTGGTTGAGAGATTTACTATTATACTCAATATAGGAATCTAAATTATTAAAAAAACAATATATAAAATGAACTTTAGAAACACATCCAAAGCTCATTTATAATATAACAAAAAGTTTTTAACTTATTTTAAATTACAAAATTATCATTGATTTCTTAAAACAAGCTCAACCTCAAAATCTCATTAAAAAAAAGCTCAAAACACTCAATAGGGCATTAAAGTAATTTAATAATCAAAATTAAATTCAATAGGATCAGCTATCATATTTTGTGTTTTTTTTTGTTTTTTTATAAAAATTAAATTGTGTAAGGTTTATTTATAGTTTTAGTACTAATAATGGGTATATATGACTAAATATATCTTCTTCTTTTTCCCCAAGTCTTTCATCTAGAGTTAGTTATTTGTGAATTATGTGATCTCACAATTTAATAAGTCTCAAATTATGTAAGAGCATTGTCAAAAAAATCTTATACAAGCGATATTGGAAGATGAGAGAATCAAACCTTAAACCTTGTTCGCAGGAACAAATATTCTTAACCTACAAGCCATTCACTACTTATGAAATTATTTAAAGCATATTCTTTGTACTACATTATTTAAAGCATTTTCAATTTTCAATTTTTTTGTTGTTGGGAAAAGTAAGTTTTAGCATTATTGTTTGTTCAACATCTTTCTGGGTACTTCTTAGGAGAGGAGAAGCTAGACGGGTGGGTGGGATCCGGAAGCAACCAAGTAACAAACCCCACATGGGATTGAGAGTGGATTGATTGCCTTTTGACACGTGTGTAATCATGTCAAAATGCATGTAACCTGCTGCTTTTGTTTCCGACAATGCCCTCTGCCACCCTTTTCTTATCTCCTCCCTTCCTCTGCCCCTGTGCCAGAGTGACTCGGTCTGCGACTGATTCTACCTCATTGCGAATATTTCCTGTCCAGCTTTTCAAAAGGAGCCAGCCGTCTCTTACTTTCCTCAAAAACCGTTTTAAACACCCCTCCTGTCCTGTGTTCTTTTCTTTAATGATCAAATTGTTAACTTTTCTTCTTTTATTTGGTAGTGTTTTTGAAATTGCTAAAAATGTGTTTAATTTCATTTGGTAGAACAATTTAAAAGTACTTACAGATTTTTCTTTTTTTCTTTTTTTTACGTGTTATTCAAGCACGTTGTTAAAGTGTTGTCAAAGGACAATAATGCACCCACAATAATTTCATTTATACACACCAGCTGAGAATGCTCAAATCGCTACCATTTCATTCGATTAAATTTGATAAAATGAGTAGCAAGTAGAGTAGTATTAGCTCATCTTTGGACTTTGTTAATAGAGAAACCAAACCTAGAATTTAGATTCAATATCTAAAAACCTAGAGTGGTTTAAAACATTGAATCTTTTTTCTTCTTTTAAAATTAGACTTGGTATATCTTGAAAGATTCCAAATCTTTAATCATTCTACCCGGGCTTAAAAAATTGCAACAAATTACTTTGTTAATTGAAAATTCACATAAGCCTGCCTTCTAAAGTGAGAAGCCAAATTTGCATTACAATATTTGGGTACTTTCTACTTTCCCAGTGGCGCCTAGCTAGCTAAGCTAGCTACTTGGTTGGTCCCCACTCCAAGCAAACACAACGAATCATTACCATTACATGAAAAAGCATATTTGGAAAGGAAAAAGGCCCAAACGCAAAGATGAAAAAAAAACAAAGGATAAGAAAAAGGCAGGCAGAGTAAACCAGTAAAAGCCAGCAATTAAAAAAAGCAAAGCTGATCAGAAAAAAAAAGAAGAAAGATGGAGAGATTCACACACACCGCCACAAAAACCAAAACAGACCCAAACGAAAAACCCTTTTCTTTTTTTTTTTTTTTCTTTCTTTCAAGCACAAACCAAAACTGTTATTCAATGTGTCTTTGCATTTGTCCAAAGAGGAAAACCCCAAAACCCAAAACTAAAAACCCAAAAAGAACAAAATAAATAAATTACTAATGTGTCAATTGTAGAGAGAAAGAGAGGGGCTCTCCAAATGTGGAAATTGTTGCAAAATATATTTGAATTAAAAAGCTGGGGAGTTGCAGAAGAATTAGAAGCTTCCATTTGGTGTGCACAATGACAACACCATGGAGACGTAGAAAGAAAAGAGAAGCAGCTGTACAAATAAAAACCCAAATTAAATTCAAACCCTCCTCCGTGCATATATGCTAGACTAGAACCCAGACCTCTATAGCTCCAAAACAAAAGCATAAAATTAGAAGTTGCATGCAACTTTCTGTCCTACCTAGTGTCAGTTTATTCTTTCCCTCTCTCTTCTGCTCTCTCTCTCGCGTAGCTAACTGAATGCTGCTTGCTTATGGCTTCAAACGAACCCACTGGTAACGGCCCTCCAAAGGCACATCCTTGACGATGTCATAGTTGTACCTGAGCCAAATGGAGAAGAAAAAGGAAAGTTGTTGGTTAGTTGTTAGGGTTCCGATTCCCAGCTGCTAAAATGCGCCTGGGGAAGAGTACACGAAACGGTACAAGCTTATGCTGCGCACTATTAGAAAAAATTAAAAGAAATAAAACAAGAGCGGAAAAAGTACTCACTTCTCTGCAAAGCGCTTTTGCTCGTACTTCTCGGCCATGGCAAAGAACTCTTCGATCTCATCACTCGGAGGAGCTTTGCTCACCGGGAGTTGTCTCCGTCGGAGATACACTGCCGGCGCCTGCGATTCCATTTCGTCGGAGCCTAAGCACAGCTCGCTGGACGGCGTCGTTTCTCTGCTGAAGAACGAAACCAAAAAAATTGTTAAAATAGAGTTCTGAGAAAACAGAAATTAACCTGAGGCAGAAGAAAAACGTTTCCTTTTTGGAGGAATTGAAGAGGAAAATTATTAAGGAATGTGAAGTGAAACCTGAATTTATTGTCGGCCGAAGGAGAGTTGGGGTGGACGGTTTCGAAACTCTTGGCCTGCAATAGGTGAAAAGTGGTGTAAATGAATTTGAAATTTAAATTCGAATTAATTGAACCAAGCAATAAAATCGGAAGAGAAACGTAAAATTGAACGAAAAAAAGGAAAGCAAAGAGAGAGAAATTTGAAGCGTCTGTTTGTTTGCTGAGAAAATCCTAACGGAAACAAAAAAAATAAACACTGTTTTAGTCCGCTAGTTTCTCTCCCCTTTTTTTGTTCCATCATTTCATAACAAAGAAAAATCGGAAGCTAGGTACGAGCTAGGGAATGGAGATTCACCTCCAGATCTAGGAGCGGCGAGCTGTGGGCGACGACGACGTCGTTGAGCTCATTGCTGGAACAGCAAGAGGAAGGAGGAGAGTGATCAGAGCAAAAGCTCGACCAAGAATCGGAGGAATTCAGGAGCTGAGGAGAACGAGAGTGGCGGAGATGAAGCATTGGTGGACTTGGCGGCAATGGCGCCTCTGAGTGTGAGAAGCGTTGCTTGTGCGGAGATGAAGAAGCTCTGAATTTTCTCCTCTTCGACACGCCTGTGGCTGAGTCGTCCATGGCCGCCATTCGCTTACAGCTACAGTCCCCCATCCCTCTCTCTCTCTCTTCTCTCTCTGTATAAAGAAGGCTAGAGCAGTGCACGCACACACGCACAGAGTGTGTGCTTCTCTCTTTCTTTTTGCTATTTTTGGTTTTGATTTTGAAGGAGAGGAAGGAAGGAGAGAGAAAAGTGGGAGATCCAAGAGCGATGTTTAGGAAGTGATTTGTTGGACGGTTCAGATTTCGTTTTATAGCAACAGAAAAACGAAAATATCAATAAAATTTCGGGGTGGGGTTTGGCTTGATTTTACCGTTTTACCTTTTTACAGTGTTACTGTGTTTGTGGTCCTCACTTCTGGGGTGAATGGGTAAAAGGGTGACAGTAGAACGGCAACGATGCCGTTACGAAGATCTCGGCGTGTTAAAGTCTAAAGTTAGAAACAAACTACATCCGCTTCTTCCTCTGTGGAGCTGAAGCGCAACATTTTAATGTCGTTTTAAATGTCACCCTTCCGCCATTGAGTAATTATTACCCAAATTTATACACCCTCTGCCCTGTGTAATTCCTATCATCCCACCAATTTTTTTTTTTTCCAGTTAATATCATAATAATTCACTTTAACTATTCATAAATTAAATAGTGGGAGTTCACCAGAAAAAATTAAAAGAATTTATGGTGAGAGCAGATAGTTATGTGACGCTATTTTCACTCTAAAATTTTGAAATATTACATTTTCATAATATTCCACCTTTACAAAAACGTGACGTCTAATTGGTCTTCTCTTTTTCTCTCCAAATTATTATTATTTTTTAGTACAAACGATTGGAGAAGGGGGGTTTACACAAATATCCATTGGGTGTCTTGAGGTTTCGAACCTCTGTCCACATGAATAAAGGTGGAAGAGTTCAACCAACTGACTTATACCCCATTGACAAATTATTATTTTTTAAATATTTAAATTTCAATTACCTTTTCTTACTGTGATATAGTTATGTAAGATAAATGCTCAACAAGAAGAAGTATTATCTTTTACTTATGTGATTTTGGTGTTGGTCATCATATATGGTTTTAATTTAGTAATTCTTGTACTTCGAATTTGTTATGTGCTCTTTTTCTTGTAGCTAGTGAGGCATTTTGGTTGTAATGTCAAATTCGCGTTGTTACATTAGAACGGATAATCTTCGATCTATCCTAATTGACCCTAACTCATTTTCTTACTCTGTCTAGTTACTTGGATTATATGTAAAGTGAATAGAAACGATTTACATTTTTTTATTTTGGCCCTCTTTTAAGTTTGGTATGAACTCAATGCTATGGCGTAGATTAAGTATTTTGGGATCTTATCGCATGTTTTGTAGATCTAATTATTAGTACCTGAGGTCTTGGCCAAGGGTTGGATTCATGAAGTTTTATATATTTGCTATATATAAAAACAATCTTAGTATTTGAGGTCTTCAAAACCAAAACAATCTCCTACTTGTTTTTCTCTCAATTTCTGATTATATCCACAACAGTTGGAAAAAAAAACTTTTCAAATTTTAGAACTGGTACCAATATGAATTTGAGTGAATGATTGGCTTGAATTGGGACAAAATCTACCGCTGTAAAGAAGAAACTCAATCTTCTATGTTGACCCTACATGAGTCATTTACATTTTCTTTTTCACCAAAATGTTTTAGAATCCAATTATTTTCCTCTCTCTCTCATATGGAGTGAATCTCAAGTGACTATATCACAACCCCACCTCATGAGAAAGCAAAAGAAAAAAAATAAAAGAGAGTCGAGAAAAAGGGTTGCAAACAAAACATTTTTCCCAAAATTTTGGTACAACTCAGTTTCGTAGGGTGAATTGATTGGAAAATGAGTGAGCACCAACCCAATTTCGTCCCCACAACAGCCAAAAAGAAAATGGAGTAAGAACACTCTTCTCTCATTGATGTTGCCACAAGTACAAAAGGCATGGGACTTAAGTGATGGGACCAAAAGTTGGCCTAGATAGTGATACATTATGCCAAATTTTACTTTACACCACACTATATAGGTATAGGTATCGACAAACCTATTACGTACCAAATGTTAACTTCCCTTTCTCACGACTTTTAACTAATGCCTAAATTTCATAAGAGCATTTACCCCTACACTTGAGGTCTTAGGTTCAATTTTCCCATTCCTCATTATCGTTTGTATAAAAAAATAAACTACAATGCTAATATTAGTATAAGAATTCAATGTAAATTCATCTAATAGTGATGTCACAAAATGGTGCAAATAATCAATTGCATGTTCAAATCTTAATGTACTTGTAGTACCTGCTTGGTGCTAGTCTAGCTTGTAGGTGTTTAATGTCATGTATCGATGTACGTATGGTGGACTCAGAAATTTTTTAGGGGAAGTGCAATTTTAGTTAGGATTTTTTTAAAAAATAAATAAACACAAGCGCACTGCGCAGCACAACACAACACAGTGCATCAGCAGACTGATTTCGTTTAGGCTTTTCGTCAAACACCAAGAGTGCACCTCCCAAGTTGAGCAGAGGTGCAATATATAGCACCTATGATGACTTTTCAAGCGAGAGGAGGTGCAGTGCACCTCTTTGTGCCTTAATAGGTCTGCCACTGCACCTATGTATGTATTTTTGTGTGTCTTTTGTACACATGTGTAGATGCATGTCATTGTGATTGTATATAGCTAACTTGGGAAGGGGAGGACTCTCATATATTGTCTTCTGTTTTCCCAAATGTATATAAATAAAGGACCATATAAGGCCACCATGTAATCGACCTAACATGCTTACATTTTCGTAGAGGGATACAATTAATTACTTGCAATCACGTGACTTCCCTTCTTGAAACATGTTAGTGCAGATCTAGCAATAATTACAAGTTTAAAAAAATTCAAATGCCAATTATGGCATTATAAATGGTTGCTCTTTGATCAACCAAACTGCAGATTACGTTTAAGAGGAACGTACCCTCTTGTCTTATTAAGGGAAATTTAGAGGTACGTAGGGACTATTTAGTACTAGGATCAGGTCTGCAGGAATGTTGGGTGAGAAATTGAAAAAGATTTATGTATGTATGTATGTATGTATTTATGTATAGCTAACCCTATAATATAGGGACTGGACCAGTGGACCACCATGCAAGTCCTCGGTCTATGCATTCTTACATAAACAAAACAAGTATAAGGCTGCCGTACGATAGTCATTAGCAATAATCATCGGTTTATGGCCGAAAAACGAATATATAATAATAGGTATCCAATTCAAAATCAATTGACAATAAGATGCACACAATCTTTTATAGTGAGGTGCATGACTTGACTTCTCCGGTGAGGGATTTATACACTCGACGGCAGGTACATAGTGGAAGAGGACCCGGGACGAAGCTAGCAGAGGATTTTTATCCCCCTGCAGGCTTAATTAAGTTTGTTGTTAACAATGTTACGATGGCATGCAAGCACTTTTGACATCAGCAATGTTATATATCACATGTACCAGCAGCTAGCCAAGCAGAAGAAGCAGCAACAGAAGTACCTTGGTTGAAGGTAACAAACAAAACAAAAGAGATGACATGACCCATTTTACAAATTTATGGATATGGCATAAATATTCACAGCGGAAAAAAGAAAAAATCCTGACTAATACCTAAGAAAACATGTACTATACACAAGTTTATGGATATGGCAGAAGCTGCATGCAGTTCTTATTATATAAGGGTCACAGGTACTTTGTGAATAACTGCAGAAGGCAAACATTTGAACAGATCAACAAGACTCAAGCCACATGACCAAGGCACAAAACTAGAAGCGGCTTTGAGCTTTAAATTAAATGCTATTGTCCAATATATCATTTTAATTTTCTTTATCTTTTTTTTTCCTTGACAGTGGCAATATTCTAAACTATTCTAATGTATGGGAAGGGAGTTCGAACTCAGGTGCAATGGAACGAACACACTGCCTTGACCAACTAACCTAATCAACATTTGCATTAATTTCAATTTTCTTTATCACATATAGTAATGATAAAGAAATATATTGCCACCCATCTAACAATATATTAATTTTTTTGGGTTAAAATTTGGACTAACCCTGATTATGTTAAGTATTGAACATCAAATTACAATATTTCAATAGTAATAATATATAGGAAAAGATAATCTCAGGACTGGCACACCAATTGCATTAGTATGTCCACAATTGAAGGTACGTAACATCCGGTCAAAGATTCTACTCATTGTTTACAAAGAACTGGCAAAAGGTAGTCGGCTCTGAGCATATAAGTCTAATTACTTGAAAGGCCAAAACAGAAGAAACCCATATCCTAGGCAACCTAAAATTCTGCACGGGTGAAGGCTGTCTTTACTTGAAAGAAGTCAGGTCGCTCTTTTAGTGCTGCATGAACATCATTTGGTGCTCCCACTGCAACAACAACCCCTTTGTCTTTGACTGCGTCAAATGCATCTGCAAATTCCTTGAAGTCCTTCAAGCTGCGTCACAAAGGCGTATAACAACGTAAAAATATTGTAACGTCGTAAAATATTCACAGGTATGAGCCTTAATCAACGTTATTTTAGCTTTTACAAGCATCATGGAAGTTGTCTATGGCCAAAGGAAATGAAATAGTGTACACAATGCAGATAATGATGCCTCAGTTGGACAAATATAAGTAGTAAATAATGATCAACTAAGGTCAGACAAACAATAAGTAGAATGCTCAAATTCCCTTCTCCATTGTCCTAATATAGTTTTTGCCGAAGCATCGCTTAAAAATTGTTCAAAATTTAGTCAAGATGGCAACGATCTGCCTCACAACTTTATCAGCTAAAACCACCAAACAATTAACAGCCTCTTTACCTGGTTGACAACATCTCTTCATGTCTCCTTTTCCTATCTTCTTCTGTGACTCCAGTTAAGTACTGCTCCAAACTACAAGAAAAAGAAAATTATGGGAAGCAGTTCATAAACTATGCTGAAACATATTTCTTTCTTTCTTCTTGTTCCCTTTTGTATCCAGTGACACTCCACACTCCTACAAAACATGATGTTCACGTACCTATTGTAACCTTTGGCTTTGGGATCAAGATACTTGCATGAGTCGTTTTTAAGTGCCTGAATAATGGCCATTTTAAGAGTATCATTATCCATTTCTAATTGTCGTAGAAAATCTCCAGTGTTATCATATCGGTCAAGGGTCTTCAACAAGTTGGTGTCACCAGAAGGTAAGAAAGAGCATGCTCCTGCATAAAATTTTGTCAGTGAGGTTCTAAAACAGCAATTAAAAATCCATGCAAATTTTTTTACCTAAGTAATTATCAGAGCGATAAGTGGCATAAACTGCACCACTAATTACTGTGCGATCAGGCAACCATGTACGTGCACAAACAAGAAATGTGGAGATAACATCTGTTCTTCCATTAACCCGATAACCAGTGTTATCAATGTTAACAGATTTTCCAACATGGTTAACCTGTAGAATGTATCAGACCAACAAAAACAAAAAACAAAATGTAGAACGTAAGAGTTAAGGAAAATCACTCCCCACAAATAATTTAATATACAGAAAGGAACCAAGCAGAAAATGATTTCAGTTCTAACCGGAGTAGGTATTACTATGGCTTCATTTACACAAGGTAGTCTAGCATTCCAAGTAGTTGTTGCACAGGGAGGGTTACCAGGCAGCAAATCCAGAAATTTGCCAACAAACTGCTCAGATTTGGTAAGATTCTTCCCTTCAGCAGTCATATTAATTATACAACCTTTCCTAGTAAACAAGGACTTGCGAATCTCCTCGAGAGATGAAGAAATTCTTTCCCAATCTTGATCAACTTTCTTTTCAAGCGCTCGTAGAAACTCCAAGTGACTAAGAAAAAATATAGAAACTGTATGAGAAACTGTATTGGTCCCATCATTTTTCCGTAGTAAATGCTGAATTATCCATACTATAAGAAAATCATTGCACAGAACTTAAAAGGTTTCCAGTTATTCATCTCAAATATAGGCTAAGATCTCAACCGACATAAATTTTTCCTTTATCTCAAAGAAATATGCATAACAAAGTTAAAATGGCAAGGTCTTGGAATGAACCTAAATATTTACATATAGTTTAAAAGATGTATAATAAATAGCAAGAACAAAGTGGTTAGCAAACTGGAAATCATAAACAATAGCTCCAAGTTTCTGAAAAATACAATTCACAGAGACAGGAATAGACACAAGAACAGTTAGGATATGCAAAGGCTAGGTCAGAAGACAAATCAGTTGAAAAATTCAGTCCTACCTGATACCACACATTTGTTCACGAATCCACCCAAAAACATTTAGCTTTGCGTCCATCCTTAACGCAATAATGTTCTGACCTTGAAGTTCAGCACTTTGTTGGTACTGAAAATGACATAATATAAACCCCAAGCTTTAATAGTTAAAGTTACGGACCGGCAATGTTGAGCTTTTCCGAATAAAAGTTTATAATACCTGCACTATAGCATGGGAAACAAGCCGCTTAAGCCACCGGTGGTCTGTAAACTGGACTTCTTGAAGAAGATAGTTTATCTGCAACAACATGCCATCAGCTTTTGCATTGCGTTTCTGTTTTCGCTAAAATTCTTGTTTCCCGTAAAAAAAATATATATATAATTAATTTATAGTCGACAGATTAACTACTACAATGTGTGGGAAAATGGATTCAATCAGCATTCAGTTATTGTTCTGATGTAAACCTACGTGCATAAGCAGGCCCATATCAGAAAAACTATTGTCAACTGATGGAGGAAGTTAACTGAAGACCAATAAGTACTAATAGCATACAAAATTATTTAGACACACACACCCAAGTTCGAATTCCCTCTGCCCGGTTGATTGGATACGGAGAAAAGGAAACTAGAAACACTCATTTGCTAACTATGAAAAGAAAAGGGAAAAGAATACCAGGTGAAATAGATCTTCAGCACGTTTGGCCATGGCTTTCCCTCGAACAATTATATGGCAACAGGGATCTTCCGTGTACCGTATCATTGACTCAATTGATATTCCACCAGTTTTTCTTAGAATCAAGTGACGAAGACCAACAAAACATGTGTCTTTTGTATTCATGTTTTGCAATGCGTAACTGTCAAGAACAGCATGATATAGTCAACAAAGGATAAAAAAAAATTGGATTAAAACAATTTTTTGTTTTTCTAAATAAGACTCTTCTTTGTAAACATGTAGAGGTTCACTGCTAGTTCAAAATTATTATCAACATACAACACTGCTGATGTAAGTAGAGAATCAGTTCATTACTACGGCGAGCATAATTGTCATACTGGGGTTGCAACTACTACTACCATTATTGACGCTTTGCGATTAAGATGTTAAAGAATATTTTCGTTGCTTTTGTAAGTATAATTAGCCGAAACAATTAGTGTTTTATTCAACAATCACTGGATATCCACAGAAATATTCAGTTTTACTATAACATGAGTGTTGCATGCAGAATAACCATTGGAATTAACAGAAAGTGAATGTAATCACAAAACAAACAGTTCTATTATTATGCACAATTCCAAATGTAATTTAAGGTAAAGTTATCACTATACTCAGGTGTTCTACAAAAATTACGACATTTCCCTTCAGGATGACATGATTTAAGAGCTGAGCATAGGTTTCTGAAAGTCTAATGGAACAAAAAGATTCAACTAAAAAAGGGCATTGGCATCAATCTGGTATTGAGTCAGGTGGTCAGGAATGAGGATAAAGGTTAGCCTTGTTAGTTTCTTAATTAATGACAGGCAATTAAAATGAACACAATGACATAGTCTCAGGCTCATCATCATGTCGTGTTCACGATGAAACCAAATAGTAATGACAAATTAGGTTACTTATATTGAAGATAGCATCTTACCAGAAAAGGGGTACCAAAGGGATAAGCTCTTGCTTTACTGAACTCATATCAAACACAATGTCAGTATAAAGGACATCATTTGTGAAGAGGTCATGCTGCAATACTTTAACTCCATTGATATAGTCAACCTACATATAACAGATGCGCTTTTATTTTTTTATTCTAGCAGAAACTAACCCATAAGGAAACTCATATCAAACTTAAACATATATAAGAAACCAGAAATTTAAGGTGAAGATCACCTCTTTTGGAACAGTAGTAGGTTCCTTTGGAATGTCTTGCAGAGAGAGGCTTGGAACACTTCTCATAGCTTCTGGTGGGTCAGGAGTTGCCTGCTTCAGTCGCAGCTCCTGTGTAGCACGTACCAGGCCAGCGAGATCTTTATCTGTTAAGCTTGCTTTAACTTTCCCCAGAATTTCTTTCTCAGCTTTTTTCAGCACGAGAAGCCTTTTGTGGATCGGGCTGACAAAGAAGTAGGTGGTTAGGAATAACAAACATGGCCACAAAGTTTAATGCAAAATGCTTTAATTGATTACCTGCATTTCTACCACAACTCTATGAGAATTGTTCAAAATGAATTTCTCTATCAGAGGAGAGAAAACAGCCTTAGAGCCTTCCTTTTGTATTCTGGATTTCAGTGCCGTTAAAAATGTCCCATACTTTAATGGCTCAAAGGGATCCATATCAAATATCCATTTATCCTATAGAGAATTAATATTAAACTCATGACCAAGAATAAATCGCTATAATACATGTCAGGCATTTTATCGACAAAGAAAAAAAAACAAAGGAGAAAACAAAACTAAAGAGTGTATATCTTACCATGGATCGAACCAATAAGGACACGCCTCGAGTATATGGTTCATCATTGTATTCCCTGAGATTAAACTCCATCCCATTCAAGGATACTTCCAGAGTATCTGAATGAAAGCCTCCCTTTGCTAATTTCTTAAGTGTACTCATGACTAATTCTTCTACTTTTAAAATGTCATCATGAGAAACACTCATCACCCCAACACTAAATAGAGGTTGAAGGAGATCAACAGAAACCTCAACAAAAACATCTACAAAGCCATTTTCAAGCAAGATTCTTTTCAGTGGAGAAAAAATAGTTCCCGACATAAGATGAAGCAAAACCTGAATCGTCCGCTCAGTCTCCATGTCTAGAGGCCCATCACAGAGAAACCAACTGAGGCATACCATGTTTTTCTTTTTTAAATCAGCAAATGGAATAGAAGGATATTTCTTAAAAATCCTAACTGGTTCTGAAAATAGCTTCTGTGGTTTAATCCTCGATTCATTTGGAGCTGAGCTTGCATCAAACATATCCAGGTACTCTGAGAGAGAGTAAGATGGTTCAGATATAAGTTTCAAAATTAATTTTGACAATAAACTTATGTCATTCATCTGAATCATCACAAGGACAAAAAATTACATAAGAAAAGACATTGTTGACCAATGTATTGCTCTAACAGCTGTTCATTTCCTTATCTGAATTTTAAGTAAACTCTGTTTCAGTTCTTGAAAACAAGTTGGTGGCAAAACGGAAATGGAGGGATATTTGTGATTTACAGGTTTGACAACCTTCTTTAAGATATGGTAAAGTTGTTAAGTCATAACAGTCATGCAACAAAGTAGCCATTTGATATGAGAAAACTCCCCACTCTTTTAAGGTAAAGGCCAAAATAGCCACAAGATGCTTTGCAGGCAAAGTAGTCACATGTTGGATCTATTTCAATACCACTCAAAATGCGCAGGCGCTCAGTTGGATCATCATCTCCATAAAACCATATCCTTGCATTACTGGGATGGTAATATTTACGGTGGAACTCCTGTAATTTTATCGTCAGAAACTCAGAAAGAAAATAACTAGTACTAAATAAACTTTACGAAACAGTTCATATATATAGAGAAGAATCATATGTTTATAGATAACTTGCTTGACATTCAGACAATTTGGCAGAAGATGGTACCAGGCATATGCATCAGCCCAATAGAGAGAGAGAGAGAGAGAGAGAGAGAGAGAGAGAGAGTAATCAGAATATTAGAGATTAAAAAAAAGAGGTAATGCTACTAGAAGTTACTGTGACTTCATTAAAATAGAATTATTTGTTCAAAACCTTTTTGTAATAAAATCCTAAATACCATAATTATACAACCAAATGAGATGACGGTAGTTGGAATGTGTCCTTCAACGTACTACACACTTCGAGAAAATCAGAGTCTAGAATCTAAAATAAAAAGTTAGTAACAGTTTTAAAGTTTATCATGGTATTCTGATGTACAAAATAGCTAATCCTCCTCCTTAGTGAACAAACAAACCTTGAATTCCTTAAATGACAATTGGGGAATAATTTTTGGATCACCTGCACAGTCAAAACCATATGTACTCTCTGGAAAAATGGCCTGTACAAAATGGAAACCAGATATATTAAACATACATCGAAATGAATAATGAAAACAAAAAAGATGACACTAAGGAAACATAATAACCAAACTGGTAGCTCTCTAGTCATCAATGATAAAAGATGACTGTGTAGCTCTTAAGATTTCCTATGGACATGAACTGAGAGAGAAACAGTTGAGTTCTGATGTAAACCTGCCAAAATGTCACAAACATAGACAATAAACAATTGGACAAAAAGGAAGTAGAAAGAAAACTTGCCTGTCGAGTAGTCTTCTTTAATATACTTATAGGCTCAGGCTGAGAATAATACTTTTTCATCTGATTGAAGACAGCTCCTAAGCAAAAAATTATTTACGAAGAAATTAACACATTTTCATACGTGGAAATTAATGGAATTTGTAAGCCAGAAACATGGAACTTTGCCAAAGGAAATGTAATTAAAAACCAGAACACAAGAGAACTGGGAACATCAATCGGATGTGCAACCTTTATAAGATATGTCCCCGGAAGGGTCGTTGAGCTCGAAATGCCAACCCTCCTGCCGGAAAATCTGTAAGTCCTCCACACATTTGGGAAAGAAGACGGTGTCGAGGTTCATATCAACCAGATTATAAAAATCCTGATATAAAAATGACGACCTTGTTGTTAGAATACAGAGTAGATACAACAGAGACCCTTTTCCTTAACTTTCACAACCCGTTTTACCTTTGTATGTGCGGAAGTAACTACGTAGCAAGTCCTATCAGAATATATGAATTTTTCCGAAAAATTACCCAAGGTCCCTCCAATCACCTCCTCAAATGGATTTTTCACAGGGTACTTTCTTGACCCACAGTATACACTCCGTTGCAGTATTTGTGAAATTCCAGTGGAATCCTTCCTGCATCAACAGTTAAATAAACAAGGAGGCTTTAACCCAAAAAAAAAGATTAAATAGATAAACAAGGAGGCTTTTCCAATTCGTTCCAAAACATTTTATATATATGATTCTTGAAAATGCATAAATGGACAGCTTCATTTTACCAAAAAGAAAAGGAAAGGAGACATTTTGGAAGAGCACTCACAGTGGGTTCCGGAAAATAATGCTAAAGACCTTTTCTTCATCGTCGTTGGACATAGAAATGACTTGGGCACCGGTCTTTTTGTGCCGGAAAAGTAAAGCTTTCGACTTGCACTCCCCAATGAACTCTTCGGTAACCTTCTCGAATCCTAGCTTGTCCAAAACTTCATCTTTCACCTCCGAGCACTCTGTACCCACAAGAAAAAAAATCGATTGTATCGCAAAATAACAAAAAGATGGTAGCTTGGGATTTGAAGTGGAACATAGTCATGTTATGTACCAGATGGTGGAGTGTCAGAAGAAGCGGGGACGGCTCGTGAGGAGAGGCACCTGAAGTGGGTTGTGACATGGGGGTGGGAGGAAGAGGGGAGTAATATTATGTGGCTTCGGAGCAGAGAGGGTGCGGTGGGGACGTCCGGAATCGGACGGTGGCGGTGGTTTCTAGGAGCAGAAACTGAAGAGAAAGAACAAGATGAAGATGATGGTAAGGCAAAACGAGAGATTCGGCGAGGAGAACGAAGCAGAGTAGTAGCCCCCGCCATTTTTATGGCGTCTCACTGTCTCTGAGTGAAACAGTGGGACTGGGAAGAAGGTAACAAGAAGAGGAGGAGCAAATGCAAATGTTTTCAAAATGGGGTTTTTGGGTTTCTAGAAATGGAGAGACGCGGGTTTATATGGAGAAGCGCGACGTGCCTGTGTGATTACAGAGCTGACCGTAAGGGCAGGTAGCGCTGCTGAGAACAATACAGAGCTGACCGTACGGAAAAGCACTTTCGTTTTGTCCAGCAAATTTTCGAGAGTTAACGTATGGATTTGGTCGTTGTCATTAATTTCTGTGTGTATGGGGATGGTTTTGTGTTTTTGGTCAAGGTATGGGGATGGTTTAGGGAGGGAAATATTTTGCTCAAAATTCTTGGTAGGGACGAGCCGAGCTGAGTTTGAAATATGGCTAGTTTGTTGTAGAATAGAACAAGAGTTTTAAGCTTGGCTCGCATTTGGGACGAGCCAAGCTTGAGTTCAAAGTTTGGCATAATTTAATATTAAATCATAAAAATAAAAGAAAATCTTAATTGAGAATTAGCAACAAAAAGACATTTATATTTTTTTTGTTAACTCTATTAGTATTAATAGTTGAGGAAAGTAGAGTTGATACTCCATAGTTGAAACATTTCTGTCTTTCAGAATTTATTATTATATCCTCTTAGTTATCGATTGGAAATAGTAATGCCGAATTTCAATAAACTTATTAACGAGTAATATTTTCCTGCAACGTATGTGACCACCACGTAATGGAAGCAATAGACATATAGTTATTATGAGGATACTACATCAACTAATGGTTGATAACAAACCCAAAAGCACGTGGACAATTGACCAAACCAATATGTATTGTAGCTTAAGAAAACTCTTAATTAACTTATTATGGGAGTTTAACTTCAAGAATAACATACTTGAACAAGTTCGACCCTCCTCAAATTTCTGATATTTTTTCAGAGCAAAGAATTTCCATCCAATTTTAAAATGTTCTGTAGTTTAGATCCTATTTTGCTCGTTCATGATTTTAACCATTTGCATTCAGTGATTTTAAACATTTGGGCAGACCAACTTGCCCATCTTATGAATACCTGACTTTACTTTTTGGTCTGAACCTTGTTATGCTAAATGGGAAAGCTAGGACTGAAGCTGGGGAAATGAGACAAATAACAACCATCTATGGCAAGTTTCACCATTTCAGGCAGCTGCTGAAAACCATGCATATCTGATACAGCCCCATACGGCTATTTGAAAACATTTACAAAGCTTAACATCCACGTGTTCAAGATAAGCCAAAATTCTTCGGTAGTAAGAGCATCTCCAAGACTCCAACCGATATGTTAAAAATGGCATATAGACATTTAACAGCTAAAAATAACATCTTACATCACTCAAACAGATGTGTCAAAGCTGATGTGGAATGAAGGCCGGAGGTTGAGATATTTTTGACATCCCAAAAGCAAAATGTCAAATGAATATTTTATTATTTTTTCTCTTCTTTTCTTTTTAATTAAAAATAAAACAACACTAAAATGTAATAAATAATAATTTAATTTGACATATCGAGTGGAGTGTAAATTGTATAATTCTAAGCTGATGTTTAAATTTGATGTTTGTTATTTATCGATTCTAAGCTGATATTTATCAATTCAATTTTCTGTCAAATATCGACTCTAAGCTGATATTTATATATGTTGAGTTCAAAATGAAACTGCGATGGCAATTTCACGAGTTCATCGACAAATTACCGGCATAAAATTGACTGTAAAAGAGGATAAAGGAGACGGAAAAATGAAAACTTTTAACTCACATTTAAGGAGTCAAAGGAATTGGTGGTACACTGCTTCAAAATTTCTTTGCTAATCTAATATGATTGCATTGTATGTATTGCTTTGTGTAAAACGGGGTAAAAATGGAACAATAAATTGAGCGTCCCTTGCTGTATAATGGGGGAATGGGGTTACAGAAAAGCCTATATCTGTAGCATTTTCTGGGAGGGCTTAAAGGGCTTTCTTTACTTCAAAGAAGTTGTTTTGCTCCTTATGTGCTGCTTCAACGTCATCTGGAGATGCCACTGCAACCACAACCCCTTTGTTTTTTACCGCATCAATTGCCTCTGCAAATTCCTTGAAGTCCTTCACGCTGCAGGACAAAGGAATAATGAGTAAAAATAGTGAACTAGGAAAAATACTCATTACGCATAATAAAGGTAGCATCGCGTGAGCTGCCTATCGCCCAAAAATGAAAATGGAACAGCTATGAGGATGATGATACCTCATATGGAAAAATATAAGTTATACATTTAATCAACTAAGGCACGTTGGCTAGCAGAACATTCAAGTTTCCTTCTATGGTTCTAATCTAACTTTTTCGTAACTACCCTTTGAAAATCGTTGAAAGGGCAGTAATCAAGATGACAAAGACGGGATAACAACAAAGGTTGTTTCTTCAAAAGCACAGCCTTAGTGGTGTCATATCCTTGGCATGCCTTACAACTTGAATATCAAGTCAACTCATCAACCAATGAACAGAATATTTACCTTGTTGACAATATCTCTTCTCGTCTCCTTTGCCTTTCTTCTTCTGTGACTCCCAGTAAATGCCGCAACAAACTGCAGGAGTAAAAAAAGGAGGGAGTGAGGAGAAAAGATTCGTACGTTTCAGGAAATAAGAAGCAAATTCAGAACCAATGTGACATCACCAACGAGCTATTGTGGCAGGTTGTATGCAATACATTAGATGTGGAATTATGAGGGGCATACACAGGATTGTTTCCAACAACAATCATTAAAAGGAAAAACATTTCCTTCCTCTTCCCGATTCCTTCTGGTTCACAGTGACCCTTACATATATCTTCACTCTCCTACAAACCAAGAACTGATAGATGTGTACATACCTACTATAACCCTTGGCATCAGGAAGCTGGTACGAATCAACATCGCCAATTGTCCCAATAATGGACTTTGTAAGAGTCTCATCATCCATATCTAATTGTCGGAGAAAATCCCCAGTTCCATCATATACACCAAGTGTCTTAAACAAGTTGGGGTCGCGATAAGATAAGAAGGAGAATACTCCTACAGAAAATTTCAGAACGTTAGGTAACAACATAAGCAACTGAAACTCCATGCGAACATTTAACAGCGCAATTTTTTACCTGAGTGACTATCAAAGTCACAAAAGCCTCCATATGCCCCACCACTAACTCTAACACGATCCCACAACCATGTATTACATATGTATTTGGAGATAACATACGCACTCCCATTAAGCTGATAACCAGTGTCGTATACGTTAGCAGCTTTTCCAACATAATTAACCTGCAGAAGGTAACAGCTTAGAATTATTCCTCCACAAAATATGCAAAAAGGAACCATTCCAAAAAAGAATATTATTCTAACCTGAGTAGGTATAACAATGGCTTCATTTGATGAAGGTAGTCGAGCATTCCAAGTAGAAGTAGCAATGGGAGAGTTAGGCAGCAAATCAAGAAATTTGCTAACAAACTTCTCAGAGTTGGTAAGATTCTTCCCTTCAGCAGTCATATTAACTATGCAACCATTCCTAGAAAGTAAGGATTTGCGAATCTCCTCGAGAGATGAAGAAATTCCATCCCAATCTTGATCAACTTTATCTTCAAGAGCTTGTAGAAACTCCAAGTAACTAAGCAGACAGAATATACACAGTTAAATGGCAAGGTCCTGAAATGAACCTAAATCTGCAAATCATCGTATAAGATGTATATTGAACAGCAAGAAATGAGATGTATTTAATGTTAATGTCAATGCAAGCTCAAAATCATGAATGATATTTTCATAAAATTTAATCATGAATGATATGTCCGTGTTTATTACAGTGCACTTCACAAAGACAAGAGTATACACAGGGAAATGTAGAATATGCAAGATTAACACAAAAGACAAATCACTTGTAAATTCCAGTCCAACCTGACACCACCCATTTGTTCAGAAATCCACCCGGCGACATTTAGCTTTGCATCCATCCTTGCAGCAGCAATCCCATGACCGCTACCTCTCAATCGGTTCTGAAAATGACATAACATAAACTCTACACTCTGATAATGTCAAGGATCAGTTATGTTGAACTTGTCCAGATGAGATTTATAATATACCTCCATTCTAGCTTTGCTTTGGGAAACAAATTGCTTAAACCGCTGCTGGTCTGTAAATTGGACTTCTTGAAGAACACAGTTGAACTGCAATAACATAAAATACATGCATGAAAACCTTAATAAAATATCTGCAGTAACAACTTGAGCAATATGCTACAATTAAAATACTAATATAGAGGAAAAAGATAATTATACAGTTAATGGCCCCCAAATCGTGAACCTCCCTCCAAGTCAAAGGGAAAAAAATATAAGGGAAGAGTATGAGATGGGTCACTTAGTTTGTTCATAGTGAATGGAATCCTAATAAAGAAAGAATAACCAATCAAACTTTTTTTCTCTTAAAAAGATCCTAAACTTTTTATGAATTAATGCAGAACAATTGAAATTTTGCATGGGATGCATTTCAAATTAAAGTATCCGTCCTTCAAATGGCAAGAAGAGATTTAATCTATACTTTTCACATCCACTAAGATAAAATGTAAGAGAAAGCAATGATTCAAGTTTTCCACACTAACTTGGTCAATAGCCTCAACTAAGGAAATTCTCCTTTTTCTTTAGAAAAAAAGTTATCTTATGTTTCGAATTAGGCAGGAGTTTTGCATAATTGTTAGCTTCTCACTTATGTGTTTCGCACTTGGCTTGTCCTGGATGGACTCCTTGTATGCTCCTTTTGAATTTCGTTTATTTTTTCAAACAAATTCTTGTTTCCTATCTTGAAAAGGCAAAAGTAGGAAAACTTACTAAGGCATAAAATAATAACTGTAATGAGTAGGAAAATGGATATCTTCATTCATCAATCAAATTTTGTTCTTTTCAGTTATTGTCAAATTTTGTGCAGGTGTACACCTCAAGTGCATAAGAATTTACAAAATATTG